AACTAGAACAGAACTAGAAACTGAACTAAAACTGAACTAGAACTGAACTAGAACTGAACTAGAACTGAACTAGAACTGAACTAGAACTAGAACTGAACTAGAACTAAACTAGAACTGAACAAGAAACTGAACTAGAACTGAACTAGAACTGAACTAGAACTGAACTAGAACTGAACTAGAACTGAACTAGAACTGAACTAGAACTGAACTAGAACTGAACTAGAACTGAACTAGAACTGAACTAGAACTGAACTAGAACTGAACTAGAACTGAACTAGAACTGAACTAGAACTGAACTAGAACTGAACTAGAACTGAACTAGAACTGAACTAGAACTTAACTAGAACTAACTAGAACTGCATTAGAACTGAACTAGAAGTGAATTAAAACTGAAGTACTTTAATAAATTTTTTAAAATTTAATTTACTCGAAAGTATGCTACATTTTTTGGATGTTGGTTTGTGTTTGTAATGTTTTTATGGTGTGAATCCCTGTTATTAAATTTTGTAAGCAGACAACGCCTACATTTGACATAAACTAAAAGAGAATATCCATACATATATTTACAGACATGTTGACTTTAATATAATAGGGCTAGTCACAGTTTTAGAGAAATAAATAATATACAAATTATTTTTAATAAAGTTAAGCTATAGGTCTTTTTAAACCTGTTAACTGCCCCATTTGTCGTCTGCTTAAAAGTCATGGATTTTTAAAGCAGAACGAAAATAAATGTTATTATAAAAATATATAAATATTGAAGGTCATTTGATGGGATACAAAATTGTATTGATATAAATATCATGCCAACTTTTTTCTTTACTATAATACAGACTTTAAAATTAAATTTTTCACTATCAGTTTACATACTTTGTCTTTTACTCTTGAGTGTTATTGTTTTTTTTCATTATCGATTTCACATTGACACACAAATACCAAGATAAAAAAGTAAACAAGTAACTTAAGGAAACTAGAACAAAAAGGAGAAAAAAAAAATCAACATGATAGTAGAAACACTATGAGACATAAAATTCCGGTGATATTGGAATACAAGAATGTTGACAGACAGCCAAACACAGACTGATGGCAATGAATAATAGTTAGAAGAAGGTATGAAAGGCGAACCGTTTGGCTGAGTAACAGACTGTCTTACTGTGTGATTGTAAGACGGCTTGTCTGTCTCACATAATTACATGTATCAGCAATATTTTATGACACTTTTGTATAGTGTTACGTTTAACATTTTTTTACTTTCTCGTGTTCTTGGTTGACATTTTTCTTCGTTTTTTTTCTCTTCTCGACTACTTTACTTTAACTATATTTACAGTTTATTAAAAAGTTAAATTAGTATTTATATAGGGTATCGAGCTATAATATATGTCCTTAAATCAAAGACAATATAAATAATAGAGTAAATAAATTATGTAGAAGAAAAAGTTTGCATACAAAGAAATTAACAATTGTGACAAGAAAACTTTCGAAAAGAGATTGCTAAATAAGGAAAATTTATATGAACTTTAGCACTATAAATGAAGGAAACTTAAATAAAAGTTTAAAATTGTATGATATTGAACTTTAAACAAGTTTAACGGAAGGCTTTAACAGCTTTAAAAACGTCTATTTTGTTATTAAACGGAAGAGAAACACAAATATAGAAAATTATATTAGCTACTATCAGTTTGAATTCAAAGTAGTTCAGTAGTTAGTTGAAATTAAGATGTCTTAAAGGGGGCGTATGATTAATATTAACTTAATTTAAAAATGTTGCTAAAAGTTTTGATATTTTAACGATAAAAGGTTAAAATGATATGGAAAGCCAACAGATTTGTGTAAAAAACTGTATCAGAAAATTAGAACAGAAATGAAGAAAAATTTTATTTTAAAACGAAAGCTAAAAGAAATATATTTTTTTAATTTTTTATTCTAGAAAAAAATTCGAATTTCTCTTGTTTTGAAGCTTTATTTTCTAGAACAGAACTAGAACAGAACTTGAACAGAACTACAACAGAACTAGAACAGAACTAGAACAGAACTAGAACAGAACTAGAACAGAACTAGAACAGAACTAGAACAGAACTAGAACAGAACTAGAACAGAACTAGAACAGAACTAAAACAGAACTAGAACAGAACTAGAACAGAACTAGAACAGAACTAGAACAGAACTAGAACAGAACTAGAACAGAACTAGAACAGAACTAGAACAGAACTAGAACAGAACTAGAACAGAACTAGAACAACTAGAACAGAACTAGAACAGAACTAGAACTAGAACAGAACTAGAACTAGAACAGAACTAGAACAGAACTAGAACAGAACTAGAACAGAACTAGAACAGAACAGAACAGAACTAGAAACGAACAGAACAGAACTAGAAAAGAACTAGAACAGAACTAGAACAAAACTAGAACAGAAGTAGAACAGAACTAGAACAGAACTAGAACTAAAACTAGAACAGAACTAGAACAGAACTAGAACAAAAATAGAACAGAACTAGAACCGAACTAGAACAGAACTAGAACAGAACTAGAACAGAACTAGAATAGAACTAGAACAGAACTAGAACAGAACTAGAACAGAACTAGAACAGAACTAGAACAGAACTAGAACAGAACTAGAACAGAACTAGAACAGAACTAGAACAGAACTAGAACAGAACTAGAACAGAACTAGAACAGAACTAGAACAGAACTAGAACAGAACTAGAACAGAACTAGAACAGAACTAGAACAGAACTAGAACAGAACTAGAACAGAACTAGAACAGAACTAGAACAGAACTAGAACAGAACTAGAACAGAACTAGAACAGAACTAGAACAGAACTAGAACAGAACTAGAACAGAACTAGAACAGAACTAGAACAGAACTAGAACAGAACTAGAACAGAACTAGAACAGAACTAGAACAGAACTAGAACAAACTAGAACAGAACTAGAACAGAAAATAGAACAGAACTAGAACAGAACTAGAACAGAACTAGACAGAACTAGAACAGAACTAGAACAGAACAGAACTAGAACAGAACAGAACTAGAACAGAACTAGAACAGAACTAGAACAGAACTAGTACAGAACTAGAACAGAACTAGAACAGAACTAGAACAGAACTAGAACAGAAAATAGAACAGAACTAGAACAGAACTAGAACAGAACTAGACAGAACTAGAACAGAACTAGAACAGAACTAGAACAGAACTAGAACAGAACTGGAACAGAACTGGAACAGAACTAGAACAGAACTAGAACAGAACTAGAACAGAACTAGAACAGAACTAGAACAGAACTAGAACAGAACTAGAACAGAACTAGAACAGAACTAGAACAGAACTAGAACAGAACTAGAACAGAACTAGAACAGAACTAGAACAGAACTAGAACAGAACTAGAACAGAACTAGAACAGAACTAGAACAGAACTAGAACAGAACTAGAACAGAACTAGAACAGAACTAGAACAGAACTAGAACAGAACTAGAACAGAACTAGAACAGAACTAGAACAGAACTAGAAACTAGAACAGAACTAGAACAGAACTAGAACAGAACTAGAACAGAACTAGAACAGAACTAGAACAGAACTAGAACAGAACTAGAATTGAACTCGAACTCAACTAAACTAGAGCTGAACTAGAATTAAACTACACTGATCCGGTGTTGTTGTACAAATTTCTCTATTACTTTTTTAAAATCAAGGTACGAAGATTATAGTTTATTTTACAGAAAGCTGACACAATAGCCTTTAAAAACTAGCAAAACATGATTTGCTTAAGAATTTTATTTATAACTCCTTTGAGTTATTTAAGAAAAATTTGATTAATCATCAACAAATATTTTCCTGTTTTTATTTAAAAGAAGTTTGACGTCAATGTTAAATATTAACATAAAATTTGTAAACAATTAGTGAAAAAAAAAGAAATTGTATATGGTTTAAAAATAATTTGCCAGAAAATTTAACTCAATGGGAAAGTAAACAAGGAAATTGTGGGAAAAACCTCAGAAGTGGAAAATAAAAAATAAACCAGCAAAATATTAAAAAAAAAAATTGATTTGAACTAACAAAAGTTTTTAAATCAACTGGAATTTATAGAAAATTCATAATTCTTTATTTAGTTTTAAAATTTTAGATGATAGTTTTATTACAAATATTTGCTAGCTTTTAGTTATTATAATATAAAATGTTGGCTTTCAGAATCTATTAAAAGATTTAAAGTTTCTTTATTACAACCATAGTTAAGCTAAATTTGTGCAGCAAGTCAATAATTAATATTAATCATACGCCACCAATAGCAAAATTAAATTAATTAAATATTCTTTAAACTATGTAAGCATTTAGTTTAAAACTAAAAAATTCCATAGAAAACGACTAAAGCTAAATTCGCTACAAATTGTTCACTGGTTTTTCAAACTGCATGAGTATAGAAAACCAATAACAACACTTAATGTTCAATTACTTTATTGCAATCAATTTCAAGTGTTTGATTTTACGTTTTTTTATATTAATAAAATACTTTGAATAGATTTTAGACCCACACAAGTGTTAAATAATATGTGGGAATGAACAAAAACTTTGTTTGGGGGAAATTTACTAAAACCATGTGGGCTGCAATGCAAAGCAATTTTTTAAATAAACAACAATTAATGTAAAAGGAATTTAAAACAATATTACATATCATTTAGTTAGAACAAACAGTTTATAAATTTAGCAAAAATTTAACCTCCTTAATATATGCTATAATCTATTTAATTGATTTTATACCAAAAGTATGCTATATTTTAGAACAATTTATTTCCCCCGTTTTTAAACTGCAACCAATGCATTAAATGCAACATTTAATTAACTTGCTAAAATCCCCTTTTAAGTATAATATTTTTTTTTAAACTACTTTTAATTTTCAATAAGAAATTTCTCCTTAAAGTATACTATACTATAACTAAAAACTCTCTTCTCTACTTCTATTACATGCTCTTCTCATACGTGATTATTTCTTATTATTTCTTTATAGTTTTAGCCAAAACCCAAACCAGCTGCTTCTACTGTTACAATACTATCCCTGAAACGTGACTTGGCAAAGACGTTATTTTTCTTTTACTCTCTAATCTCTAAAGGATTTGGCATCAGCGAAAAAGTAAAAATATAAGAAAGAAAACAAAAAAACTACAACAATATATTTTATTACTTATAAAAATCCCAGATTCTATTACCGATAACAAAAAACCAACAGCAAATAACTGCTAAAGTAAAGGAAAAATACAGAAATATTATTTAAACACACACACACATACACACAAAACTCATTAAATATGGAGGCTACAAATGGTGCTGCTGCAGCTGCGGCCAATGCTGCTGCTGCCGCCGCTGCTAAGCGCGTTCAAATTGAAAAGGCTCACAATTTTATGCGTCAATATCGTGATCCTGAATCGAGAGAATTAAAGAAATTGTCAGCAAATCAATTTATGGATGTATGGGCACATTATGATAAAGATGGTAAGTTTGATTTGGCAAAATGTTGATTAAATTAAATGAATGCGAAGCAATAACACTAAGTTTTTAGTATTTCTCTCTTGTTTAATACTTATAAAGAAAATTTCTGTTAAACAAAATTTTGTTTCTAAATGTAATTTTCGATTAGGACTAAAGTATAGTACATTGTCCCAGATTATAGACTTTAGTCCAGAATATACTTATTGTCCAGACCATAGACAAAACTATAGTACTGACTATAGACTAAACTATAGTCTATGGTCCAGACTATAGTCCACATTAGACTATAGTCCAGATAACTCTATAGTCCAGACTACTGACTAGAACAAGAACTGAACTAGAACTGAACTAGAACTGAACTAGAACTGAACTAGAACTGAACTAGAACTGAACTAGAACTGAACTAGAACTGAACTAGAACTGAACTAGAACTGAACTAGAACTGAACTAGAACTGAACTAGAACTGAACTAGAACTGAACTAGAACTGAACTAGAACTGAACTAGAACTGAACTAGAACTGAACTAGAACTGAACTAGAACTGAACTAGAACTGAACTAGAACTGAACTAGAACTGAACTAGAACTGAACTAGAACTGAACTAGAACTGAACTAGAACTGAAACCTAGAACTGAACTAGAACTGAACTAGAACTGAACTAGAACTGAACTAGAACTGAACTAGAACTGAACTAGAACTGAACTAGAACTGAACTAGAACTGAACTAGAACTGAACTAGAACTGAACTAGAACTGAACTAGAACTGAACTAGAACTGAACTAGAACTGAACTAGAACTGAACTAGAACTGAACTAGAACTGAACTAGAACTGAACTAGAACTAGAACTGAACTAGAACTGAACTAGAACTGAACTAGAACTGAACTAGAACTGAACTAGAACTGAACTAGAATGAACTAGAACTGAACTAGAACTGAACTAGAACTGAACTAGAACTGAACTAGAACTGAACTAGAACTGAACTAGAACTGAACTAGAACTGAACTAGAACTGAACTAGAACTGAACTAGAACTGAACTAGAACTGAACTAGAACTGAACTAGAACTGAACTAGAACTGAACTAGAACTGAACTAGAACTGAACTAGAACTGAACTAGAACTGAACTAGAACTGAACTAGAACTGAACTAGAACTGAACTAGAACTGAACTAGAACTGAACTAGAACTGAACTAGAACTAGAACTGAACTAGAACTGAACTAGAACTGAACTAGAACTGAACTAGAACTGAACTAGAACTGAACTAGAACTGAACTAGAACTGAACTAGAACTGAACTAGAACTGAACTAGAACTGAACTAGAACTGAACTAGAACTGAACTAGAACTGAACTAGAACTGAACTAGAACTGAACTAGAACTGAACTAGAACTGAACTAGAACTGAACTAGAACTGAACTAGAACTGAACTAGAATTGAACTAGAACTGAACTAGAACTGAACTAGAACTGAACTAGAACTGAACTAGAACTGAACTAGAACTGAACTAGAACTGAACGAACTGAACTGAACTAGACACTGAACTAGAACTGAACTAGAACTGAACTAGAACTGAACTAGAACTGAACTAGAACTGAACTAGAACCTGAACTAGAACTGAACTAGAACTGGAACTAGAACTCTGAACTAGAACTGAACTAGAACTGAACTAGAACTGAACTAGAACTGAACTAGAACTGAACTAGAACTGAACTAGAACTGAACTAGAACTGAACTAGAACTGAACCTAGAACTGAACTAGAACTGAACTAGAACTGAACTAGAACTGAACTAGAACTGAACTAGAACTGAACTAGAACTGAACTAGAACTGAACTAGAACTGAACTAGAACTGAAACTAGAACTGAAACTAGAACTGAACTAGAACTGAACTAGAACTGACTAGAACTGAACTAGAACTGAACTAGAACTGAACTAGAACTGAACTAGAACTGAACTAGAACTGAACTAGAACTGAACTAGAACTGAACTAGAACTGAACTAGAACTGAACTAGAACTGAACTAGAACTGAACTAGAACTGAACTAGAACTGAACTAGAACTGAACTAGAACTGAACTAGAACTGAACTAGAACTGAACTAGAACTGAACTAGAACTGAACTAGAACTGAACTAAATAGAAAAGTCAGTTATATTAAAACAATTAACTGTTAAGGTCATTTAAATAATTGTGTTTACTGAAAAACCTATAAGTAATTAACAAATCAAAAATTTACTTGCCAATATATAGTATACTTATTACTTAATTAAAGCCTACTTTTGGGGTTTTCATAACTAGCTATCAATGTTATTTGTTAAAATTTTAAACATGTTTTATTTTTCTCTTATTTCCCAGGCAATGGTTATATTGAAGGCACTGAATTGGATGGTTTCCTGCGCGAATTTGTATCTAGTGCCAATGCCACTGATATAAGTCCTGAGGTAAGTGTGTCTTGTTTAATTTTTGTTTGTTTTTGCTACAGTTTATATATTTGGCATTTTGTTTTTTAAAATGATTAAAATTTATTTATTTTTTGTGTTTATTGTATGCTTGATATAATGGATTTTTCTTGTTAGCTGTCTGTTAAATTTATTTTGTTTTGTTAAACCTCCCACAAACCCCTTCAAAATTTAAGCGTGTCTAACTAACATGTTTATCCTGAATTGAAATGTTATTGCTGATATAAATTTTGTTAATGATTTTTTCATTGTAATGTTAACATTTACAAGGGTAAAAAAATTATCATAAATATGTAAGAAAATGAGAAGAAAATACTTTAAGCAATTTGACAAGGTGGAGAGGACAACTTGGCATACTTAAAGAGGACAAATTGTAATTAATCTGGACTCAGGAATTAAACTAGACTAGACTATAATCTATAGAATAGGCTATATCCTGGACTAGACTAATGTCTTGAATATTGTCTAGTCTATAGAAGACTATAGTCTGGACTATAGAATAGACTATAGTCTGGACTATAGAATAGACTATAGTCTGGACTATAGAATAGACTATTGTCTGGACTATAGAATAGACTATAGTCTGGACTATAGAATAGACTATAGTCTGGACTATAGAATAGACTATAGTCTGGACTATAGTATTGACTATAATCTGGACTATAGAATAGACTATAATCTGGACTATAGAATAGACTATAGTCTCGAATATAGAATAGACTATAGTCTCGACTATAGAATAGACTATAGTCTCGACTATAGAATAGACTATAGTCTCGACTATAGAATAGACTATAGTCTCGACTATAGAATAGACTATAGTCTCGACTATAGAATAGACTATAGTCTGGACTATAGAATAGACTATAGTCTGGACTATAGAATAGACTATAGTCTGGACTATTGAATAGACTATAGTCTGGACTATTGAATAGACTATAGAATAGACTATAGTCTGGACTATAGAATAGACTATAGTCTGGACTATAGAATATACTATAGTCTGGACTATAGAATAGACTATAGAATAGACTATAGTTTGGACTATAGAAAAGCGTATAGTCTGGACTATAGAATAGACTTTACTCTAGACTATAGAATAGACTATAGTCTGAACTATAGCATACACTATAGTCTGAACTATAGCATACACTATAGTCTGGAATATAGAATATTCTATAGTCTGGACTATAGAATAGACCATAGTCTGGACTATAGAATAGACCATAGTCTGGACTATAGAATAGACTATAGTCTGGACTATAGAATAGACTATAGTCTGGACTATAGAATAGACTATAGTCTGGACTATAGAATAGACTATAGTCTGGACTATAGAATAGACTATAGTCTGGACTATAGAATAGACTATAGTCTGGACTATAGAATAGACTATAAACTAGACTATAGAATAGACTATAGTCTGGACTATGGAATAGACTATATTCTGCACTATCCTGGACTACAGTTTTTACTGTAGACTAGAATATAGACTAGATTATAGTATTTACAATAGACTATATTATAGTCTTTACAATAGACTAGATTATAGTCTGGACTATAGACTAGACCATAGTCGGGACTATAGACTAGGCTATAGTCTGGACTATAGTCTGGCGTACAGTCTGGACTACACTCTGGACAATAATTTGGACTACAGTCTGGACTATAGTCTAGCCTATAGAAGAGTTTAAGTTTCTGCCGGTTTTTATAGCTTAATATGGTGTCTTTCATAAACAGTTTAAAGAACCTCGATCGGTTCACTATAACAAAAGTAATTGTAAAATTTTTACTGCAAGTCAATAATGAATATTAATCATACGTCATGTAGATGTGTAGACCAAAAAAATTAGGCTTAACACTAACATACATATGCAGCAGATATTTTCTTAGTATTGTATCTGAACTATAAAAGTTTTCTTTTAACACTATTTCGGAAAAATACTCCCCTTTCTACCTTTTAAAACTCAATATAAGAAACCCAAATATTAAATAAATATTTTTCCAATTTCAATAAAAGCTTTTCTTGCAGCAGCAGCAACAGTTTGCAAGTTATTCTTGCTTGTTGCACTACAGAAATAAAAAAAAACGTTTTAAGCCTCCTTGAAAGCATTTATTTGTTCAATATTTTTTTTTATTCAGCTCAACTCTTAACAAGTGTGACATTAAGCACTTTGTTAACATTTCAGCTTTAAATTCCATCAAAAAATACTTGTGTGAAAAAGAGAAACTAAAATGATTTCAATTTTGAACAAAAGCTAAAAAATTTTCAACTAGTGTTAAATGTGAACACATACACTCAACATGATCACACTATTAAAATTTTCATGTTATAAAAGAATTTGCCATATTTTGTTGGTTTCACTGCTGCCTGTTCAAAGCCATTTGAATAAAACATTGTTGCTAGTTGATGTCATCAACAAACATTTGCACTTGGGTTTTGGCATTAAAGCGGTTGATGAAAAACTATTCTGTTTTTTCATCGTTTCAAAGCTAAAATATATGTTGAACTCCGATTATGTTTGCAGGAGTAGTTGTCATATTTTTGTCACTTTTATGAGCTGACTAATGACGCAAATGTTTTTTTTTTTTAATATTTTTATATGTGTGGAACTAAAAATGTCATATATTTATGTGGAATTTTTTTTAGGGAAGTACTAAATTAATGAACATAAAAGCGTTGAGGGAATTTTTTGGCCAAAGTTTATTTTACGGTGATGAAATTGTCATAAAGACTGTCATCTTAAGGGAATTTAATAAAGAATATTTTATGAAATGAAAAAAATTTTTTTAAATTAAATATTTTAATGCATTAGTTTTACAGAGGAATTATAGTTTTGTTATATCTTAGCTGTATTTGTGAAACAAGAATTGCAGAATTTTTATTAAAAGATAAAACAGTTACAAGTTAATAATACATATTAATCATACGCCACCCAACTACTACAACAATCTGTAATGAACTCTAGAAGAAGGAACTTAGCTTTAAATTTAGATAATAGACAAAACTTTATTCTGATTGATAGATAAGTCTGAACGAATGACTCAACTATAACCTGGTCTGTAGACTAGATTATAATATGGAAAATAGACTAGACTATAGTATGTACTACAGTCTGGATTATAAACAAGACTATAGTCTGAACTATAGATTAAACTACAGTCTGGCCTATAGACTACAAAATAATCTGTACTATAGACCAAATTATAGTCTGGACTATAGACTAAATTATAGTCTGGACTATAGACTAGATTATAGTCTGGACTATAGACTAGATTATAGTCTGGACTATAGACCAGATTATAGTGTGGTCCCTCAGTTATCTAATCTAATTGTTTGAAGTATAGTAGGGACTTTAAAGTACTGGACTATAGACTGGGGTATAGTTTGGACTGTAGCCTAGACTATCGTCTGGATTATAGACTTTATGTTAGACTATAGTCTTTACTATAAACTAGAATATAGACTAGACTATAAACTAGAATATAGACTAGACTATAACCGACACTCTGGACTAGAATATAGACTACACTATATACTACACTATAGACTAGATATACACTAGACTATAGACTAGAGTTTACACTAGACTATAGACAGTTTACTCTAGACTATAGACTAGACTAGACTATAGACCCGACTATAGTTTGGACTATAGACTGGACTATAGAGTAGAATATAGTATAGACTAGACTATAGTCCGGACTATAGACTAGACTATAGTCGGGACTATAGGATAGACTATAGCCTGAACTATAGACTAAAATATAGTCTAAACTATTGACGAGACTATTGTCTGGCCTATAGACTAGAGACGAGACTATAGACTGGACTATAGAGTAGAATATAGTATAGACTATAGACTAGGCTATAGTCTGGACTATAGACTAGACTACATTCGGGGCTATAGACTAGACTACAGTATAGACTAGACTATAGTATAGACTATAGTATAGACTATAGAATAGACTATAGACTAGACTACAATATGTACTGTAGACTAGACTATAGTCTGGACTATAGACTAGACTATAGTATGGACAATAGACTAGACTATAGTATATTCTGGGTTATAGACTAAACTGTAGACTAGACTATAGTTTGGACTATAGACTAGACTATAGTCTGGACTATAGACTAGACTATAGTCTGGACTATAGACTAGACTATAGTCTGGACTATAGACTAGACTATAGTCTGGACTATAGACTAGACTATAGTCTGGACTATAGACTAGACTACAGTCTTGACTATAGACTAGACTATAGTCTGGACTATAGACTGGACTATAGTCTGGACTATAGACTAGACTATAGTCTAGACTATAGACTAGACTATAGTCTGGACTATAGACTAGACTATAGTGTGGACTATAGACTAGACTATAGTGTGGACTATAGACTAGACTATAGACTGGACTATAGACTAGACTATAGTCTGGACTATAGACAAGACTATAGTCTGGACTATAGACAAGACTATACTAGACTATAGTGGGGCTATAGACTAGACTATATTCGGGGTTATAGACTAGACTATTGTATAGACTATAGAATAGACTATAGTCTTGACTATAGACTAGACTATAGTCTGGACTATAGACTAGACTATAGTCTGGACTATATATACTAGACTATACCCAGGATTATGGACTAGCCTATACTCTGGTCTATTTACTAGACTAGACACTAGGTTATATACTGGTCCAAGGATTAGAATGTACGTTGACATATAGACTAAACAAATTTTGAAAATTTTTCCTGATTTAAACATTTTTTATAACATTATAGAATATTTTATTAAATATATATTTAAAAATAAATGCTGACCAGACTCATTTTTTTCAATCCAAATTATATTGTCCTTATTGTTAATAAAATGAACAAAATCTAACAGAAAAAGAAAAACTAACTATAATTTAGGGTTCAAAGACATCTTTTCTGCCAAATGACATTTATGATTTATGTAAAAGAAATATTGCTAAATTAACAAAAAGAAACGTATCTAAAAGAAAAAATAATATGAATGATGACAGGGAACAACAACAAAAAAGCACAAGATATTTGTCATATTTTAGCAATTAAATTAACCTTTTTGCCAACTTTCTATGCCTACCAAAATATCCTTTCTTAATAAAGCATCATTTATATTTTATAAGTTAAAATTCTCTTACTCTTTGCTGTTAAAATGATGAAACCTTTTTTCTTTTCTTTCCTATTTATCTTTTCATTTCTTATGCCAACCATGAAGGCTGTCACCGACACAATGTTGGGAGAATTGAAATCATGTTTTATGGAGGCCTACGATGATAATCAAGATGGTAAAATTGATATTAGAGAGGTAAGTGGTATCCAAAAAGAAAACAAGACAAACTTAAACTATAAAGAAAAGAAAACATTATTTGTTATAACAAAAAGTTAAATTACGTAACCCAAAATAATTGAATTGTATAGAACTGTAAGTAAGGAGTAGAATACTAGTGCACAGTTAGGAGTGTTTTTGAATTCCTAACAAACAACTGCCTCTTAAACTTGTCAACTTTTAAAACATCCAGCCTTTTGGGAAAGACCTGATAACAAAAAAAAAAGGCTGAAAGAAAATTGCTGAAACGAATTTTCATTTCTCATGTTTTTTTGTGCTAAATACCATAAAGAAACGTAATTTAGATTTCGTTTTATCAATTTATTTAAATAAACACTTCATTTGGTTTTTAGCACACTTGACTACAAACAGGCCTCATCATTTAACGCCTGAAAATTGTTTAAATCCTATTTTCTGGGCTATAAAAGCATAGACAAGTAATTCTCTTTTGTAAGCTTAATGAAAAAGAAAATATGTTTTCTTACTTAATGAGATATTTAAGAAAAAATTTAATTTAATTTTGAATGTTAGCGAAAACTTTCAAAAGAAACAAAATAAACAAAGAATAGAAATTCTAACTGGGAGTATTAGAAATAGTCAACAGTCTTCATTGTAGACAAATTAAGAGTCTGGACTATACACTAGACTATACTATAGATTAGACCATAGACTAGACTATAGACTAGACTATAGACTAGACTATAGACTAGACTATAGACTAGACTATAGACTAGACTATAGACTAGACTATAGACTAGACTATAGACTAGACTATAGGCTAGACTATAGACTAGACTATAGACTAGACTATAGACTAGACTATAGACTAGACTATAGACTAGACTATAGACTAGACTATAGACTAGACTATAGACTAGACTATAGACTAGAAGAGACTAGACTATAGACTAGACTATAGACTAGACTATAGACTAGACTATAGACTAGACTATAGACTAGACTATAGACTAGACTATAGACTAGACTATAGACTAGACTATAGACTAGACTATAGACTAGACTATAGACTAGACTATAGACTAGACTATAGACTAGACTATAGACTAGACTATAGACTAGACTATAGACTAGACTATAGACTAGACTATAGACTAGACATAGACTAGACTATAGACTAGACTATAGACTAGACTATAGACTAGACTATAGACTAGACTATAGACTAGACTATAGACTAGACTATAGACTAGACTATAGACTAGACTATAGACTAGACTATAGACTAGACTATAGACTAGACTATAGACTAGACTATAGACTAGACTATAGACTAGACTATAGACTAGACTATAGACTAGACTATAGACTAGACTATAGACTAGACTATAGACTAGACTATAGACTAGACTATAGACTAGACTATAGACTAGACTATAGACTAGACTATAGACTAGACTATAGACTAGACTATAGACTAGACTATAGACTAGACTATAGACTAGACTATAGACTAGACTATAGACTAGACTATAGACTAGACTATAGACTAGACTATAGACTAGACTATAGACTAGACTATAGACTAGACTATAGACTAGACTATAGACTAGACTATAGACTAGACTATAGACTAGACTATAGACTAGACTATAGACTAGACTATAGACTAGACTATAGACTAGACTATAGACTAGACTATAGACTAGACTATAGACTAGACTATAGACTAGACTATAGACTAGACTATAGACTAGACTATAGACTAGACTATAGACTAGACTATAGACTAGACTATAGACTAGACTATAGACTAGACTATAGACTAGACTATAGACTAGACTATAGACTAGACTATAGACTAGACTATAGACTAGACTATAGACTAGACTATAGACTAGACTATAGACTAGACTATAGACTAGACTATAGACTAGACTATAGACTAGACTATAGACTAGACTATAGACTAGACTATAGACTAGACTATAGACTAGACTATAGACTAGACTATAGACTAGACTATAGACTAGACTATAGACTAGACTATAGACTAGACTATAGACTAGACTATAGACTAGACTATAGACTAGACTATAGACTAGACTATAGACTAGACTATAGACTAGACTATAGACTAGACTATAGACTAGACTATAGACTAGACTATAGACTAGACTATAGACTAGACTATAGACTAGACTATAGACTAGACTATAGACTAGACTATAGACTAGACTATAGACTAGACTATAGACTAGACTATAGACTAGACTATAGACTAGACTATAGACTAGACTATAGACTAGACTATAGACTAGACTATAGACTAGACTATAGACTAGACTATAGACTAGACTATGACTAGACTATACTAGACTAGACTATATAGACTAGACTATAGACTAGACTATAGACTATACCTATAGACTAGACTATAGACTAGACTATAGACTAGACTATAGACTAGACTATAGACTAGACTATAGACAGGACTATAGACTAGAATTAGACTAGACTGATAGACTAGACTTATAGACTCGACTATTAGACTAGCCTATAGAACTAGGACTATAGACTAGACTATAGACTAGACTATAGACTAGACTATAGACTAGGACTATAGACTAGACTATAGACTAGACTATAGACTAGACTATAGACTAGACTATAGACTAGACTATAGACTCGACTTAGCTAGACCTAGACTAGCTACTAGACTAGACTATAGACTAGACTATAGACTAGACTATAGACTAGACTATAGACTAGACTATAGACTAGACTATAGACTAGACTATAGACTAGACTATAGACTAGACTATAGACTAGACTATAGACTAGACTATAGACTAGACTATAGACTAGACTATAGACTAGACTATAGACTAGACTATAGACTAGACTATAGACTAGACTATAGACTAGACTATAGACTAGACTATAGACTAGACTATAGACTAGACTATAGACTAGACTATAGACTAGACTATAGACTAGACTATAGACTAGACTATAGACTAGACTATAGACTAGACTATAGACTAGACTATAGACTAGACTATAGACTAGACTATAGACTAGACTATAGACTAGACTATAGACTAGACTATAGACTAGACTATAGACTAGACTATAGACTAGACTATAGACTAGACTATAGACTAGACTATAGACTAGACTATAGACTAGACTATAGACTAGACTATAGACTAGACTATAGACTAGACTATAGACTAGACTATAGACTAGACTATAGACTAGACTATAGACTAGACTATAGACTAGACTATAGACTAGACTAGACTATAGACTAGACTATAGACTAGACTATAGACTAGACTAATAGACTAGACTATAGACTAGACTATAGACTAGACTATAGACTAGACTATAGACTAGACTATAGCTAGACTATAGACTAGACTATAGACTAGACTATAGACTAGACTATAGACTAGACTATAGACTAGACTATAGACTAGACTATAGACTAGACTATAGACTAGACTATAGACTAGACTATAGACTAGACTATAGACTAGACTATAGACTAGACTATAGACTAGACTATAGACTAGACTATAGACTAGACTATAGACTAGACTAGACTATAGACTAGACTATAGACTAGACTATAGACTAGACTATAGACTTAGATGACTATAGACTAGACTATAGACTAGACTATAGACTAGACTATAGACTAGACTATAGACTAGACTATAGACTAGATTATAGACTAGACTTATAGACTAGACTATAGACTAGACTTAGACTAGACTATAGACTAGACTATAGACTAGACTATAGACTAGACTATAGACTAGACTATAGACTAGACTATAGACTAGACTATAGACTAGACTATAGACTAGACTATAGACTAGACTATAGAAGACTATAGACTAGACTATAGACTAGACTATAGACTAGACTATAGACTAGACTATAGACTAGACTATAGACTAGACTATAGACTAGACTATAGACTAGACTATAGACTAGACTATAGACTAGACTAAGACTGACTAGACTAGATTATAGACTAGACTAAACTATAGTCTAAACTTTAGACTAGACTTTAAACAAGAATATAGACAAGACTTAAGACTTGATCAAAGACTATACTGTAGGCTACACAGGAGACTAGAATATAAACTGGACTAGGCTATAGACTTGACTGTAGTATAGACCAGATTATACTATTTTACCATTGACTGAATTTATTTTAGGGAAATTAATAATTTAAAGACCTTTAAATTTATAGTTTTTATATAAATTTTTTATTTTACTTTCCAGTTGGCTCAATTATTACCCATGGAAGAAAATTTCCTGCTATTGTTCCGTTTTGATAATCCCCTAGAATCCAGTGTGGAATTTATGAAGGTAAGAACTAAAGTTTCCAAAGAATTTAAACAAAAACATGCAAAGCATACTTTTAGAGTTAAATATTTAAAAAATCTGTAGCCTACTTTTAGGCTTAATAATATTTTTGTCATAATGTTTATTTTATGTAAATTTATTCTTCATTTTATTTTGTCTTATTTTCAGATCTGGCGTGAATATGATACCGATAACTCTGGCTACATTGAAGCCGACGAACTAAAAAATTTCTTACGTGATTTACTCAAAGAGGCCAAGAAAATAAATGATGTTTCAGAAGATAAATTAATTGAATATACAGATACCATGGTGAGTTTTGGTAGTTTATAATGTTTATTTTATTTTCAGTTTTTTGCGTTGTTGTTTTTTTTTATTATTATTATTAAGAAAAGACAATAAACAGAGAAATTTATTGCAAAATAGACTATAAATAATAATTTGTTAAAGGAAGATTTTTATCCGCAACAGCATGTAACATAAATTACAAAATGTTGTAATTTTAAGATACAATTTTTTATATTTTCACATTTATATTTTGTTAAAGTCATCACAAATTATAATTGATGTGAGCTATGCAGCAAAATCTGTTTACTTAATAACATTTCTAAAATTAATGAGAAAAGCTCCTACACAATTTTTAGAAAAATGTTTTTCGTTCAAATGACAACAAGGAATTTTCCATGAAAACTTATCAATTTGATGAATTTTAGTAAAGTCAGCAATATGCAATGATGGCTTAAAGTCTTGCATTTAGTTTTGAATTGTTTTTTTTTCGTTATGTTTACAATTCAATTATAAATACTGCAGATTTATGCATGAAATTTTGAAAATTTCATTGTTTGTTTTTCATGAATATTGATGATATTTAATGATTATGACATTGATGATGGATATGCAAACATTGTTTAGCATAATGTTAGGCTGTGTTGTAAGTTCCTCATTTAATATTCAACAAATAGAAATTTTGATGATAAACAAGTATTTGTATAAGTTAAAATATTATAGCATATTTTAGGGGAACAGGGGAGAACAACTTAATTATAATTCATATACACATAATTAATGGAATTTATATGAAAATATTTATAATATGTATTATAGCATATTAGTAGGCATATATGTACATTTATAGCTATTGAAATATTGTATGATTTTGATAAGTGTTTATTTTAATGAAATTAATTGGATTTTGTGTAAAAAATGTTTCCATAAATTGCACACGCATGGTGTATAATGATTTATGAGCTTTATTAATGGTTGTGCAATTACATCAATAAATTTTACATTTAGACAGATAAGTACATATATTTGATAATTTTTTTTAATTATTCATAGAGTTAATATAAATTAATTACTAAATGTGTTGCATACTTTCTGTATATGAAATGTATTGCCTAATTTTAGGAGTAAATTAGCCAAATAGTACAAACTACGCTAGTGTATCTTCAAGTATATTATTTAGTTAATATTCTAGTGTCTCAAGTCTAGTTCAGTTCTAGATTAGTAGTAGAACAGTTCTAGTTCAGCTAAAGTTCTGTTCTGCATCAGTTCTAGTTCTGTTCTAGTTCTGTTTTAGTTCTGTTTTAGTTCTGTTCTAGTTCTGTTCTAGTTCTGTTCTAGTTTCTAGTTCTGTTCTAGTTCTGTTCTAGTTCTGTTCTAGTTCTGTTCTAGTTCTGTTCTAGTTCTGTTCTAGTTCTGTTCTAGTTCTGTTCTAGTTCTGTTCTAGTTCTGTCTAGTTCTGTTCTAGTTCTGTTCTAGTTCTGTTCTAGTTCTGTTCTAGTTCTGTTCTAGTTCTGTTCTAGTTCTGTTCTAGTTCTGTTCTAGTTCTGTTCTAGTTCTGTTCTAGTTCTGTTCTAGTTCTGTTCTAGTTCTGTTCTAGTTCTGTTCTAGTTCTGTTCTAGTTCTGTTCTAGTTCTGTTCTAGTTCTGTTCTAGTTCTGTTCTAGTTCTGTTCTAGTTCTGTTCTAGTTCTGTTCTAGTTCTGTTCTAGTTCTGTTCTAGTTCTGTTCTAGTTCGTTCTAGTTCTGTTCTAGTTCTGTTCTAGTTCTGTTCTAGTTCTGTTCTAGTTCTGTTCTAGTTCTGTTCTAGTTCTGTTCTAGTTCTGTTCTAGTTCTGTTCTAGTTCTGTTCTAGTTCTGTTCTAGTTCTGTTCTAGTTCTGTTCTAGTTCTGTTCTAGTTCTGTTCTAGTTCTGTTCTAGTTCTGTTCTAGTTCTGTTCTAGTGTTCTAGTTCTGTTCTAGTTCTGTTCTAGTCTGTTCTAGTTCTGTTCTAGTTCTGTTCTAGTTCTGTTCTAGTTCTGTTCTAGTTCTGTTCTAGTTCAGTTCTAGTTCAGTTCTAGTTCAGTTCTAGTTCAGTTCTGTTCTAGTTCTGTTCTAGTGTTCTAGTTCTGTTCTAGTTCTGTTCTAGTTCTGTTCTAGTTCTGTTCTAGTTCTGTTCTAGTTCTGTTCTAGTTCTGTTCTAGTTCTGTTCTAGTTCTGTTCTAGTTCTGTTCTTCTGTTCTAGTTCTGTTCTAGTTCTGTTCTAGTTCTGTTCTAGTTTGTTCTAGTTCTGTTCCAGTTCTGTTCTAGTTCTGTTCTAGTTCTGTTCTAGTTCTGTTCTAGTTCTGTTGTAGTTCTGTTCTAGTTCTGTTCTAGTTCTGTTCTAGTTCTCTTCTGTTCTAGTTCTAGTTCAGTTCTAGTTCTGTTCTAGTTCTATTCTAGTTCTGTTCTAGTTCTGTTCTAGTTCTGTTCTAGTTCTGTTCTAGTTCTGTTCTAGTTCTGTTCTAGTTCTGTTCTAGTTCTGTTCTAGTTCTGTTCTAGTTCTGTTCTAGTTCTGTTCTAGTTCTGTTCTAGTTCTGTTCTAGTTCTGTTCTAGTTCTGTTCTACTTCTGTTCTAGTTCTGTTCTAGTTCTGTTCTAGTTCTGTTCTAGTTCTGTTCTAGTTCTGTTCTAGTTCTTTTCTAGTTCTGTTCTAGTTCTTTTCTAGTTCTTTTCTAGTTCTGTTCTAGTTCTGTTCTAGTTCTATTCTAGTTCTGTTGTAGTTCTGTTCTAGTTCTGTTCTAGTTCTGTTCTAGTTCTGTTCTAGTTCTGTTCTAGTTCTGTTCTAGTTCTGTTCCAGTTCTGTTCTAGTTCTGTTCTAGTTCTGTTCTAGTTCTGTTCTAGTTCTGTTCTAGTTCTGTTCTAGTTCTGTTCTAGTTCTGTTCTAGTTCTGTTCTTGTTCTGTTCTAGTTCTGTTCTAGTTCTGTTGTAGTTCTGCTCTAGTTCACTTGTAACCATTTCATCAATGAATTATTTATTTGTTCTTCTAAGCACAAATTTCATGGTTTTAAACAAACAATAATAGTCATTAATTTTATTTCATTAACAAAGTTAAATGTCCAATCAAACAAGACTAACAAACATACCACAAATGTTTGATTCGAACAGAATTAATGATTTAACTAAAATGCTGAAATGTTGTGTTAAATCATAAAATAAATGCCAACAAAAGCATTTTGGTTAGCAATACCATTGCTGTATATTTATTATGGTTTCTCTTACTCCATACCTTTTTTAATGTCACTGTCAAATACCAATTTACGTACTTATATTACAAGCGTGAAAGAATTCAAAAATTGAGCAATTTTAAGGTCTAAAACCAAATGGAAAGACAAACACCCACGCCAATTTTGTTGTTCAACAATAAATATAAATTTAAAAGCAATTGTTTGGTAGAGCAAAAAAGAGAAATGAAACAAATAAAATGGGTCTATTTAACTTTCCTTAAATTTTTATTTTTACATAACATAATGTCCTGACGCCCACTTACTAGTATTGTTAGGGTCCGTTTTGGTTATAATAAACAGACAGCATAAAATACAACCAAAACAGTCTCATAACATGGCTAACAGTTACCCGTACTTAAATTCCGCCCACAACTTTCACTCTATTTATAGATACAACCATAATTTGTATTTTTATACGCTGCCAAACGCCAAATGTATAGGCAATTTAAATGTGTTTGTTTTATTGAAGGGATTCGCAGTTATATTATGTATAGCCACACCAGAGGATATGCTATAAATATATAAACATTTAATTTTTATAGTTATTTTTTGACAGCATACTTTCTTGGGCAAAGTAATACATTTATTTTGCACTAAAATTTATATTTTCTCTGTTTTGGTGCTTTTAATTTTGGTATAAAATATTAATTTTCTTTTGAGAACAAATTAATTAGCACACTTTTAGGGTTATTATTTTCCAATAAAATCTTTATGCTCAATAGTAAAGCATAGATAGGTGTATAATTTTGTAATAAATCTTAATTTAATGGCCAACATTATGTTAAAAACATTAATTTTTCACTTAAGTAAGAAAACATTAGCACACTTTTAGGGGATATAATTTTGCAATAAAAACAGCAGGATTTTAGGGTTTACATTTTTATGGATATTTTTCATAAGTGAAATAAATGTTTTATTTTCTTAATGAAACACTTTTGAACGTGAGGAAAATTGTAGACTATAGACTATACTATAGACTAGACTATAGGCTAGACTATAGACTAGACTATAGACTAGACTATAGACTAGACTATAGACTAGACTATAGATTAGACTATAGACTAGACTATGGACTAGACTACAGACTAGACTATAGAATAGACTATAGACTAGACTATAGACTAGACTATAGACTAGACTATAGACTAGACTATAGACTAGACTATAGACTAGACTATAGGCTAGACTATAGACTAGATTATAAACTAGACTATGGACTAGACTACAGACTAGACTATAGAATAGACTATAGACTAGACTATAGACTAGACTATAGACTAGACTATAGACTAGACTATAGACTAGACTATAGACTAGACTATAGACTAGACTATAGACTAGACTATAGGCTAGACTATAGACTAGATTATAAACTAGACTATAGACTAGACTAGACTATAGACTAGACTAGACTAGACTAGACTAGACTAGACTAGACTAGACTAGACTAGACTAGACTATAGACTAGACTAGACTAGACTAGACTATAGACTAGACTAGACTAGACTATAGACTAGACTAAAGACTAGACTAGACTATAGACCAGCCCATAGACTAGACTATAGACTAGACTATAGACTAGACTATAGACTAGACTATAGACTAGACTATAGACTAGACTATAGACTAGACTATAGACTAGACTATAGACTAGACTATAGACTAGACTATATACTAGACTATAGACTAGACTATAGACTAGACTATAGACTAGACTATAGACTAGACTATAGATTATACTATAGACTACGCTATAGACTAGACTATAGACTAGACTATAGACTAGACTATAGACTAGACTATAGACTAGACTATAGACTAGACTATAGACTAGACTATAGACTAGACTATAGACTAGACTATATACTAGACTATAGACTAGACTATAGACTAGACTATAGACTAGACTATAGACTAGACTATAGACTAGACTATAGACTAGACTATAGACTAGACTATAGACTAGACTATAGACTAGACTATAGATTATACTATAGATTATACTATAGACTAGACTATACTAGACTATAGACTAGACTATAGACTAGACTATAGACTAGACTATAGACTAGACTATAGACTAGACTATAGACTAGACTATAGACTAGACTATAGACTAGACTATAGACTAGACTATAGACTAGACTATAGACTAGACTATAGACTAGACTATAGACTAGACTATAGACTAGACTATAGACTAGACTATAGACTAGACTATAGACTAGACTATAGACTAGACTATAGACTAGACTATAGACTAGACTATAGACTAGACTATAGACTAGACTATAGACTAGACTATAGACTAGACTATAGACTAGACTATAGACTAGACTATAGACTGGACTATAGACTAGACTATAGACTAGACTATAGACTGGACTATAGACTAGACTATAGACTGGACTATAGACTAGACTATAGACTAGACTATAGACTAGACTATAGATTACAAACATGAACATTTTTAAATTTTCTATAATAAACTTTTTACTTAAACATTATTTTCTGTGGAAAACCTTTACAACTTAACAATTTCTTTCCTTTTTGATTAATTATCAGGAAATGTATTAATATTATGAGTACCCTCTATCCTTTTTTATTATTACCAAACCTTCCTCTATATCTTCTCATCTTTGATTAAAAATTCCGAAAAAAAAACTTTTTAATTTATTTAATTTTCACAAAGTAGTTACCTTCCCTTCAAAAAGGAAATAAACAATCAAGTTGCTTTTCGTACGTTTACATGAAAAATTAAACTTCATAATAACGCACAAAATATGCAACAGTTTGTTTTAATTAACAAGCCTAAATGTATACTACTGATATTGTATTTTTTTTTTCTTTCGAACCATTTCCTGTTCAGCAAACTTTTTAAATTCATTTTTCCTGTTGCTGTTTCATACCTTAATCAACGAAAAGTTTATTTTTTCATTTGTTTTGATTTCTTATTTTAATAAAACATACTTTACTAAAGAATTAAGAAAAAATATGACTTTTTTTAATTAAAACCCTGAAAGTATGCTTAGTATAAAAAAAAATCATGTAAATATTTATGTACATATTTATAATGGTAGAGATTTTTTGAGGAAAGAGATGTTTTTGTTTATTTATGAGCTTAAATTTTATTTTCTTTTTTGGTTTTCTTTCTAGCTTCAAGTTTTTGATGCCAATAAAGATGGACGTCTACAATTATCAGAAATGGCCAAGTAAGTAATGAAGTGTTTGAGTTTCTTTTTATTTTTCCTTCTTTTTTGGTATACTTGTTGTTAACAATATTCTTGTTATTGTTTTTACTGCTTAGTACTTGTTTTTAGTGTTTATGGAAATCATTTCAAAGTGTTAGAAAGCTTAAAAGCTTTTAAGATTAAGTCGAAATTATGTGTAGAAAATGAATATTTATCAAATAAAGTGTATGCTATAATTAGAGGGGAGGGGTAAGATGAAAGCTATGATAATGGTTAGGAAAATATTCTAATAATAGAGACTATAAATTAGACTATAGGCTGGAATATAAAGTAAACTATGGACTAGAATACATTTCAGACTATAGACTACACTATAGGCAGGTCTATAGGCTAGACTACAGACTAGCCCGCAGACCAGACTATATACAAAACTATAGACTAGGCTATAAACTATAGTAGACAAGATTATAAACTAAACTAGTCTATTGACCATAGACTAGACTATAGACTAGACTATAGACTAAACTGTAGACTAGACTATATACTAGACTATAAATCAGACTATAAACTAGAATATTGATTAGAATATAGACTAGACTGTAAACTAAACAATAGTAAGACTAAACTAGAGACAATATTATAGACTAGCCTATAGACTATACTATAGACTAGACTATAGACTTGACTATAGATTAGACTATAGACAAGACAATAGACTAGACTATAGACTAGACTATAGACTACACTATATACTAGACTATACACTATAGACTATACTATAGACCAAACTATAGACTATACTATAAACTAGAATATAGACAAGACTATAGACAAGACTATAGACTAGACTATAGACTAGACTACTAGACTAGACTATAGACTAGACTATAGACTAGACTATAGACTAGACTGTAGAATAGACCATAGACTAGAGTATAGACTAGACTATATAGACTATAGACTACTATACTAACTATAGACTAGACTATAGACTAGACTATATACTAGACTATAGACTAGACTATAGACTAGACTATAGAACTAGACTATAGACTAGACTAGACTATAGACTAGACTATAGACTAGACTATAGACTAGACTATAGACTAGACTATAGACTAGACTATAGACTAGACTATAGACTAGACTATAGACTAGACATAGACTAGACTATAGACTAGACTATAGACTAGACTATAGACTAGACTATAGACTAGACTATAGACTAGACTATAGACTAGACTATAGACTAGACTATAGACTAGACTATAGACTAGACTATAGACTAGACTATAGACTAGACTATAGACTAGACTATAGACTAGACTATAGACTAGACTATAGACTAGACTATAGACTAGACTAAGACTAGACTATAGACTAGACTATAGACTAGACTATAGACTAGACTATAGACTAGACTATAGACTAGACTATAGACTAGACTATAGACTAGACTATAGACTAGACTATAGACTAGACTATAGACTAGACTATAGACTAGACTATAGACTAGACTATAGACTAGACTAGACTATAGACTAGACTATAGACTAGACTATAGACTAGACTATAGACTAGACTATAGACTAGACTATAGACTAGACTATAGACTAGACTATAGACTAGACTATAGACTAGACTATAGACTAGACTATAGACTAGACTATAGACTAGACTATAGACTAGACTAGACTAGACTATAGACTAGACTATAGACTAGACTATAGACTAGACTATAGACTAGACTATAGACTAGACTATAGACTAGACTATAGACTAGACTATAGACTAGACTATAGACTAGACTATAGACTAGACTATAGACTAGACTATAGACTAGACTATAGACTAGACTATAGACTAGACTATAGACTAGACTATAGACTAGACTATAGACTAGACTATAGACTAGACTATAGACTAGACTATAGACTAGACTATAGACTAGACTATAGACTAGACTATAGACTAGACTATAGACTAGACTATAGACTAGACTATAGACTAGACTATAGACTAGACTATAGACTAGACTATAGACTGACTATAGACTAGACTAGACTAGAGACTAGACTATAGACTAGACTAGACTATAGACTAGACTAGACTATAGACTAGACTAGACTATAGACTAGACTATAGACTAGACTATAGACTAGACTATAGACTAGACTATAGACTAGACTAGAGACTAGACTATAGACTAGACAATATACTAGACTATAGACTAGACTATAGACTAGACTATAGACTAGACTATAGACTAGACTATAGACTAGACTATAGACTAGACTATAGACTAGACTATAGACTAGACTATAGACTAGACTATAGACTAGACTACTGTACTAGACTAGACTACACTGTACTAGACTAGACTACACTGTACTAGACTAGACTAGACTACACTGTAGTAGACTAGACTACACTGTACTAGACTACACTGTACTATACTAGACTACACTGTACTAGACTAGTCTATAGACCAAACTGTGCTAGACTAGTCTATAGACTAAACTGTAGACTGCACTTTAGACCAGATTATACTGAACTATATTTTGACAGATTCGATTCTTTTTTCAATTTTTCTGTTTTTAAGAAAATATTTTTGAAATAATTTTGTTAATTATTATATTCTATTTCCTTTCCCCTAGATTGCTTCCAGTTAAAGAAAATTTCCTGTGCCGTCAAGTATTTAAGGTAAGTTTTAAATATTTAATTTAACAAATTTAACCAAAAAGTCTATAAAACAAGCAGGTCGGTCCTTTTTTTTTAATATTAAAATAAAAAATATTAAAAATTAGAAAAAATTTAAAAAATTAATGACATGTATGAGCAACTAACTAAATAAATTAATAATAAGTTTAAAAGCTATTTAACTTAAAAAAATAATTAGCAAATATATTTAATAAAAATTTAATAATAAATTGCACCCCCCTTAAAAAATTAACTTAAATCCAGCAAAAACTCTTTAACTACCCCCTTTTAACATTAAACTAATACTATAAAACAGTTTATTATTTTAAATTTTAGTTATTTTTTTGATAAAGTATTTATTATTTGGTATTTGTTGATTATTTAACAAAAATTATACATTTTATTTTAAAGATTTTAAGCTACTTTTTTGAAAGAAAACTAAATTCCTTAAAAATGTAAGAACAAAATTTGAAGCATACTTTTGGTTGTTTTGTTGTAACAAAACAATTGTGTGTCTAGTTGTTTATAATACATTTATTATTCTCTTTTGTTGGAGGGCAAAAACAAAAATTCCCTGATATTTTTTTGAGTTTTAAATGCTAAATATTTTTATTATTATCTTCACCCCCCTAAAAATATGCTTAACATAAGTCTTAAGAAATTCTTTATATTTTTTCTTTGCTTTACTTAAAAGCTTTTTATTTGCATATTTTTATATTTTTTTGATAAAATAAAATATAGGATTAAATTGAAAAGTAAAGATTGGGAGTGTAATAAAATTTACTGTAATAAGTTTTTTTTTAAATGTTTTGCATATTTTTAGAGAAACCAGGGGAGTAATTTATAGATTTTGAAAGGGAATTTACTATATAACCAATCAATTGATTATGCAAAATATTTTAGCAATTTTAGACAATATGTTGAGTATTTCTTATGTAAATAAGTACTTGTTAATAGTACTTATTTAAAGATGTTATATTCAATAGGCTGTTAGCAGTAGTTTAAGGAGATTATGAAGTAAATTTTTTAGACAATTTTCTTTTAAGTTATAAAGAAAGAAGAAAAATTAAACATTTTTTTTATAAAAAATTAAAATATATAAGAAAATGTATATTTTTTTAACTAAAAATGCCCTTTCATTTCTCTCAAAAAATCACTTTTTCAAAAAGAGACTTTAAGAGACTTTTAAAAGATTTTACTACAATTTGCAGTTTTGGTAGACGTTTTATAAGCTATGCTAAAGTTTTAAATAACTCAATTCCTGGAGGTCTTTGTCATATATCCTTTTAATGAGAATGTGTTAAAATCACTGTTTTTTATTATTTTAAAAAAACTGTGAGAATCCTAATTTTGTTGAAAACTTGAAATTTTTAAATAAATTGTTTCTTAAATCATTTGAAAATTTAGATGTTGAATAAATGACTTTACTACAACTTGTTGTTTTTGTAGGAGATTTAAAAGCTTTACTAAGTTTTCTGATAGCTTGAGTCCTTGAAGACTTTGTCATATATCCTTTTTATGAAAATATGTTTAAATCACAGTTTTTAGTAGGTTTTATTTAAAACCGCAGAGTTTTTTGCTAAAGATTACTAATTTTGTTAAAAACTTGAAAATTTTAAATAAATTGCCTTTTAAATCTTTTAAAAATGCAGCTTTTGAAAAAATTACTTTACTACAACTTTCAGTTTTGGTAGCTGATTTATAAATTATACAAAAAAAGTTTGTAATCCAAGTCCTTTAAGACTTCTCTATATGTCCTTTTTATTACAACATGTAAAAATCGCAGTTTTAGCAGGTTTTATTTTAAAACTAGATGGATTTTCCTTAAAGACAGCTTATTATGTTGAATATTTGAAAATTTTAAATAAATATCCTTTTAAATCCTTTAAAAATTAAGCTTTTCAATAAATAAATTTACTACAATTTGCAGTTTTTATAGCCGATTTATTAGCTATATAAAATTTTTGGATATGTCTAGTCCTTTAAGATTTGGTCATATATCCTTTTTATGCAACTATCATAAATTGCATGGTTTGTTATGTTAAAGTTATAATTTGCTAAGGTTTAACTTGTATAAAACTTTTATGAGCTGAAATTATGAAATTTTTAAATAAATCCTCTTCTAAGTTTTTCGGAAATTCAATTTTTGAATAAATTTTTATGCAACAATTTGTAGTTTTAATAGACGCTTTATAGACTATACAAAAAATTGTAAAACACAGTCCTTGTAAAGTTCACCATATATCCTTTTTTAAGAAATTTTCAAAATATTTGTTTTTGATTAAGTAGAGCTATAGTTTTGCTAAAAAAAACTCTAATTTTATTAAAACTACTAGTTTTTAAATAAGGGACAAAGCATTTGCTGGCATGAACAAACAAAAAACTAACTATAAAACTTAACTATTTCCTGCTACTGTTAAGTGCTATTGTTCCTAGACTTAAGTGTTTTATACAGCATACAATGAAATAAGTCTAAGTCCAAAAAAAAAAAAAAAAATCTTTATTAAATGTAAAAATCTTAAAAAAAAGAGCGAATAAAACAATGGAAAAAACATCTTATAAAATATAGACCTCAAGACATGTTATTGTCTTTAAAAAAAATCTACAAAAAACACTTGTCTAACTAACGAACTAAATAACAAACTAATATTAATAACATTGTTGTGTCCTCATTCATGCGACAACATCCACAACAATATTATCATCAAAAGCAATTGTTTAACGCTTATACGCCCTCTCTCACAGACTATCTCCCAACTGTTAGCGACTTGCTGATGACGATGATGAAGAGATGTTGTGTTGATATGTCAACCAACAATTTATAGTCTGTGAGTTTGAGTCGTTGTTGTTGTTGATTTTCTCTAAGTATTTTTCACTATTATTTGTATAAAAATTACATAAAAATTGTAATAAATACAACGACAAACATATAAAGAGTTCAAGGTTTTTGTGTGTGATTTGTTTTTGTGAAATCAACAATGGCAAAAAAAAAATAAATAAAACAAACAAACAAGGTCATGCATGTCTAACAACAGCTTTAACAATAAAATAAATGCAAAAAAAAAGGATTTCCACTAACAAACAATCAAACAAATAAATAATAGTGAAAACAAAAATAGAAAAAAAAAAACTATGAAGAGGACAGGATTTTCTAAATGCTTGATAACAATTTGAATTGTATGAGAGTAAAAATTACATGTTGCTTTTGTAAAGTGTAATTAAAAGGAATATGAATATGATAGATAAACAAAAGTATAAAAAAACTTTTTCAAAAAAATATTAAATTTTTATTTTTTGAAATTTTGTTTTGTTTTTGTTAATAAATATTAAATTTTAACAAATTTTGGGATAACTTAAGTCCTTAGAGACTTTGGCATATATCCTTTTTATGACAATAACTTAAATATGAATTTTTCATTAACTATTCTATAAAAAAAGTTGAATTTTACTTTGCCAAGAAAACATTTTTTTTAAAGAAAAATTTTTTTCTACAAATATCCTTTCACATCCTTAAAAAAGCAACTTTCTCCCATTTGCATTTCATTTGTCATGAAAAAAATTGTTGTCACATGAGTCCTGTCAGACTTTGTCATATATCCTTTTTCTATAAATTTCTTAAATTTAATATTTCTTATGAAATTTTCTTTGAAAGCAAAGAGTTTTATCATACAAGAGAATTTGTTCACTGAAAACTATAATTTTTCGAATAAATGTTCTTTCACATCCTTAAAAAAAACTCTTTTTTTTGGAAAGACTTTGCTACAACTTGTAGTTTTTATAGGCAATTCATTTGTCTTGCAAAATTTTCTTGACACTTAAGTCCTTTAAGACTTCGCCATATATCCTTTATCTACAAATTACTTAAATTTGATATTTGTTAAAAGATTCTCTTAAAAATCAGTGAGTTTTATCATACTAAAGAATTTGTTCATAGAAAACTATATTTTTTTATAATAAATGTGCAAGGACATCCTTCAAATGCCACTTTTTTTATAAACGATTTTGCTATAACATGTAGTTTTTGTAGTCAATTCATTTGCCATACAAAATTTTTTTTTGTCACTTTAGAATTTCGTCATATATCCTTTTTCTAAAAACTTCGCAAATTTAATATTTATTAAAAAAATTTACTTTAAAAGCAAAGAGTTTTATCATACAAAAGAATTTGTTTGCTGAAAACTATAATTTTTCCAATAAATGTCCTTACACATCAGTTTTAAAGAGCAAATTTATTTGTCATACAATATTTTCTTGTCCTTAAGTCCTTTAGGATTACGCCATATATCCTTTTTCTAAAAATGTCTAAAATTTAATATTTGTTAGAAGATTCTCTATAAAACCAGTGAGTTTTATCATGCAAATGAATTTATTCACTGAAAACTATAATTTTTCCAATAAATGTCCTTCTATTTTCTACAAAAAGCCACTTTTTCCACAAACAACTTTACTACAACATGCAGTTATAAAAGCCTATTAATTTCTCATATATAATTTGAACACAGCTTAAGTCCTTAAAGATTTCACCATATATCCTTTTTCTATTAATTTCTTAAATTTCATTTTTATTACAAGATTCACTTAAAAACCCATGAGTTTTATAATGCAAAAGAGTTCTCTTAGCAAGTAAACCAAACTTCTCCAATAAAAGTCCTTCTATTAGCCTCAAAAACTCACTTTTGCAATAGAACACTTTTTTACAACATGTAGTTTTGATAGACAGATCATATTCCATAGATATTTCTGTCGTAACTTAAAACTTTCAAAACATCATCACATATCCTTTTTATAGAAATTTGTTAAATTTGAGTTTTTGTATAGGATTTAGTGAAAAGATATGGGATTTACCTGGCAAAATTTACAAGAAATTAAAATTTTCCTATAAAAGTCCTTTTTATCACCTTCAAAACATGACTTTTCCAATAGAAGACTTCACTACAACATGTAGTTTCATTAGCCGTTTCAAATGTTGTAAAAAAATCTTTTGCAACTCAAGTCCTTAAAAAGTTTAACATATATCCTTTTTATAGAAATTTCTTAAACTTCAGTTTTTCTACATATTTCATACAAAAATTTCAAAGTTTTATCAGATTGAAACGTTTTTAAATTGAAAATTTAAGTTTTTTACTTAAAATTTTTCTAAAATTTCTTGAAAAATTTACTTTTTTGAAAAAAATCTATACCACAACATGTAGTTTTATTAGCTGTTGAATTACGCTGCATTTACTTTTTTGTAACTTTAATCCTAGAGTGGCCGGCCATATATCCTTTTTATACAAAATATGTTAAATTAAATATTTCAGCTTTTTTATTTTAAATTAACAAAAGTTTTAGCAAACCTAAGAATTGTTTGGAAAAAAATTAAAAATTTTCAAAGAAATTTCCTTACAATCCTTTGGAAAATGCAAAATTTCAATAAAAAATTTTACTACAATTTAGGGTTTTTCTAGGCGAATCATTTGCTGTTTAAAATTTTTCTTTAACTTTAGTATTTAAAAAGTTTGCCATATATCCTTTTTATAAACCATGTCTTAAATTTAACAGTTTCGTATTTTCCATTAAAATATTCAAGAATTTCTTTAAAAAAAATTCATTTTTTAGAAAATCTCAATAAAAATGCTGTTATATTCTTCTAAAACACACATTTTTAAGAAAAAAGTTTTACTACAATATGCACTTTTATAAGAGGATTCATAATATATATAAAGAATTTTTGTAACTCAATTATGTAGGGAGCCCGCCATATATCCTTTTTAAGGAAAATACTTTAAAATCATTATTTTTTTCATTTTGACTTAAAAAACTTGTTTTTCTTAACAAAAACTAATATTATTTTGTTAAAAATTTGAAATTTAAAAAACAAATCTGTTGCCACTTACCTGCGAACGGCAATTTAAAGATGAAATACTTTACTACAATTTGCAGTTTTTGTAGATGATTGTGTTGCTGTATGAAATTCGTTTCTAACTCAAATCCCTGAAGACTTTATCATATATCCTTTTTTTGAAATGTTTGAAAAATCATATTCTGCAAGGTTATTCGGCTCACTGTCTTGTTAAACGTATACCACAGATAATTCGGTTATAGTTATCTCAAAGTTTTGTTGCTTTTACTCTATTTGTCGTTTAATTTTATTGTCTCTGAGTGGCAGTTTCTATACAATTCTTTAATGGATAGTGTATTTTATAATCCTTTGGCCACGAGTATGTGTGCCTGATGCTTTTGTGTTTGTTAAAGCCTGTGGTTTTTCGACAGAAAAGGTAATTGCTAACACATGTGTGTCCTCGCTTTTTTGACTTTAAATAAAAAGCTTTTAACTTTTATTGTTGTTTTCAGCTTTCGAACAGCATGTGCTAAAATCATAAATAAAAAAACAAAAACATATACTTAATAGTGGTGTATTTTCCGGTCTTAAATTTAAAATAAGAGATTAAAAAAGCAACAAACAAGCAATAAACATAACAAATTTTATTAAAAAAACTAAAAAAACTATATATATATATTTAAAGAACAAATTGTTCTAAACAGAATCTTTCAATATAAACTCAACTGCTCTACATTTTGCCCCTTGCTGTACGTAAATACTTCTAATTAAACTTGTGTCTATTCTATGGTTTTCTCTCCCCCCACTCTCTCTTCTTTTTGCTTACTTGCTACCGGATGTTTGCTAACAAACATGTAAAATTTATATTACTATTAGTTGTTGTAGCTCGGTTTCTCTGGGTCCTCAGTTAGGCCACTGTTTCCGCTTCCGTTTTTATGGTTTACTCTTTTAATTGTCATTATCCTAGATAATGGTTTTAGTTGTAGGTTTTTTTATTATTATTATTCGAATTGTGACCAAACGTAAAACGTTATTTAGGGTTATTTTATATACTTGTATACATTACTGTTAAATTGAGTGAAAATAATGTTTGTTTTTTCCGCTCAACATTTGAAGACTTTTTTGGAAGGAAACGTGTGTTTTGTTCAAATTGTGGAGGACATTTAATGTTTAGGTATAATAAAAATGTTTATTAAGAAAATTGTACTCGACTTTTAGTTGTTTAACATAATTAGGAACAAGCTTTGTTATATGTATGTTTAACCAAGGTTGCGTATACTTATTATATGTTTTTACTATTATTTGCATATTAATCATACGCACGGATGGTTCCAAAGAAAACAAATTTTAAGACTTTCAATGAAAACAAAGTTAAAGCTAGAACTTAACTAGAACTTAACTAGAACTGAACCAGAACTGAACTGAACTAGAACTGAACTAGAACTGAACTAGAACTGAACTAGAACTGAACTAGAACTGAACTAGAACTGAACTAGAACTGAACTAGAACTGAACTAGAACTGAACTAGAACTGAACTAGAACTGAACTAGAACTGAACTAGAACTGAACTAGAACTGAACTAGAACTGAACTAGAACTGAACTAGAACTGAACTAGAACTGAACTAGAACTGAACTAGAACTGAACTAGAACTGAACTAGAACTGAACTAGAACTGAACTAGAACTGAACTAGAACTGAACTAGAACTGAACTAGAACTGAACTAGAACTGAACTAGAACTGAACTAGAACTGAACTAGAACTGAACTAGAACTGAACTAGAACTGAACTAGAACTGAACTAGAACTGAACTAGAACTGAACTACAACTGAACTAGACTATAGATTAGATTATAGATTAAGACTATAGACTAGACTATAGACTAGACTATAGACTAGACCATAGACTAGACTATAGACTAGACCATAGACTAGACTATAGACTAGACTATAGACTAGACTATAGACTAGACTATAGACTAGACTGTAGACTAGACTAGACTAGACTATAGACTAGACTATAGACTAGACTATAGACTAGACTATAGACTAGACTATAGACTAGACTATAGACTAGACTATAGACTAGACTATAGACTAGACTATAGACTAGACTATAGACTAGACTATAGACTAGACTATAGACTAGACTATAGACTAGACTATAGACTAGACTATAGACTAGACTAAAGACTAGACTATAGACTAGACTATAGACTAGACTATAGACTAGACTATAGACTAGACTATAGACTAGACTATAGACTAGACTATAGACTAGACTATAGACTAGACTACAGACTAGACTATAGACAAGACTATAGACTAGACTATAGACTAGACTATAAACTAGACTATAGACTAGACTATAGACTAGACTATAGACTAGACTATAGACTAGACTATAGACTAGACTATAGACTAGACTATTGACTAGACTATAGACTAGACTATAGACTAGACTATAGACTATAGATATCTTCCTGAAAATTTTTAAAAAGTATGCTTCAAACAATTATAAGTTTTAGCTTGAAATCAATTTTATTATAATTTTTTAAACAACCATTTTTTAAGTTTAATTTAAACAATTTGTAACTGTATATATTTTTCCTTTTTAAATTTTAATTTCTGCTTTAATAAATAATTTTATAAAATAAAACTCAACTGTCCTTTGAACAAAATTTCTTCCTGCATTGTGTATAAAAACAATTTTTTTTTTTATTTTAAAAAAAATAGTATGTATTTTTATGCAAATTATCGAAAACTTTAAACAGCAATATAAAACCGACTACAATATATTTTATACTTTTTTTGTTATAATTTCTCACTGTTTTTTTCTTCTTTCCCCTTTTTCCTCAAACTTTTGGTTATTCTTACTCCTCATTTGTGTTTCTTTTCAACCACAACCAACAACTCTATGTAATATACTATTTTAATCACTTTTTAAATTCGTTTAAAAATATGAAAAAATACACAACTTAAACCACTTTAAACATTTTAATTGAAATGCTGACTATAATTTAAATAAAAAAATTATTATTAAATAAATTAATGCATCATGTATGGGACACAATCTTGCACGTGAATAAAATTTTAAAATAATCTTAATGGAATTCTAAATGCAAAAACAAATCTTTATGCAATTTCGTTTTCATTTCAAATTTAAATTAAATTTTAAAAAAATTATTTTTTTTTTAAATTATTTTCAAATTTATTCTTATTATAATAATATTTGGAAAAAAATCATAATTTAATAAACTAAATTTTAAAAACAATGGCGTTTTAATTAAAAAACAAATTAAAAAACTCGTTTCTTTAAAAACAATGCACTACTACTACTACACTCATGTAAAATTTAAAACACTAACACTACAACAACAATAACAACTTGTGTACAAACACTCACAACTACATCCTCTCACTTAATTGCTACACGTTGATAAAACAACGACAACTACTACTACAACAATAAAAACAACAACTATAACAAATAATAAATAAATAGGAAGGTATTGAAGTAAGTACCTCTACGAAAACCTCAACAAAAACACCCTTTAAAAAAAATAAATAAACAAACAATAAAAAATGTGTTTCTGTTTCCGTTTTAATAATTTAACATTTTTACTACAATGTGTTGGTGTTAATTGTTGAAAAAATTTTCTCCTTATTTTCATTAAAACATTTTAAATTACATTTTAATTTTTTAAATTTAATAAAAAAGCTAAATTTATGCTTTAAGTAGTTTTGCCTGAAATTTATTAAAACAATTTAGTAGAAATTAGTTTAATTTAAATATTTTTAGTTTTACCACTAAACAAGAATCACATACAAACTAAAATTTATAGTTGAAGAGCATGCAAAATTTTTTTGAGTTGAAAATTAGTTTAATTTTTAGTTTTAGTTGTTTGTTCCTGTACAGTTTAGCTATATACCAATTAAGTTTACAAAATGTGTTAAATGAAAATGTATAGTTTTATAACAAAGTACTTAAAAATATAGCATATGAAAAACATTGAATTTTTAAAACAGAACTTTTGAACAAGAATTGGCCCAAAAATGATCTAGAACAGAACTAGAACATAACTAGAACAGAACTAGAACAGAACTAGAACATAACTAGAACAGAACTAGAACAGAACTAGAACAGAACTAGAACAGAACTAGAACAGAACTAGAACAGAACTAGAACAGAACTAGAACAGAACTAGAACAGAACTAGAACAGAACTAGAACAGAACTAGAACAGAACTAGAACAGAACTAGAACAGAACTAGAACAGAACTAGAACAGAACTAGAACAGAACTAGAACAAAACTAGAACGAAACTAGAACAAAACTAGAACAGAACTAGAACAAAACTAGAACAGAACTAGAACTAGAACAGATATAGAACAGAACTAGAACAGAACTAGAACAGAACTAGAACAGAATTAGAACAGAACTAAAACAACAGAATACTATAGACTAGACTAGACTATAGACTAGACTATAGACTAGACTATAGACTAGACTATAGACTAGACTATAGACTAGACTATAGACTAGACTATAGACTAGACTATAGACTAGACTATAGACTAGACTATAGACTAGACTATAGACTAGACTATAGACTAGACTATAGACTAGACTATAGACTAGACTATAGACTAGACTATAGACTAGACTATAGACTAGACTATAGACTAGACTATAGACTAGACTATAGACTAGACTATAGACTAGACTATAGACTAGACTATAGACTAGACTATAGACTAGACTATAGACTAGACTATAGACTAGACTATAGACTAGACTATAGACTAGACTATAGACTAGACTATAGACTAGACTATAGACTAGACTATAGACTAGACTATAGACTAGACTATAGACTAGACTATAGACTAGACTATAGACTAGACTATAGACTAGACTATAGACTAGACTATAGACTAGACTATAGACTAGACTATAGACTAGACTAGACTAGACTAGACTATAGACTAGACTATAGACTAGACTATAGACTAGACTATAGACTAGACTATAGACTAGACTAGACTATAGACTAGACTATAGACTAGACTATAGACTAGACAATAGACTAGACTATAGACTAGACTATAGACTAGACTATAGACTAGACTATAGACTAGACTATAGACTAGACTATAGACTAGACTATAGACTAGACTATAGACTAGACTATAGACTAGACTATAGACTAGACTATAGACTAGACTATAGACTAGACTATAGACTAGACTATAGACTAGACTATAGACTAGACTATAGACTAGACTAGACTATAGACTAGACTATAGACTAGACTATAGACTAGACTATAGGCTAGACTATAGACTAGACTATAGACTAGACTATAGACTAGACTATAGACTAGACTATAGACTAGACTATAGACTAGACTATAGACTAAACTATAGACTAGACTATAGACTAGACTATAGACTAGACTATAGACTAGAGTATAGACTAGACTATAGACTAGACTATAGACTAGACTATAGACTAGACTATAGACTAGACTAGATAGACTAGACTAGCTAGACTAGACTAACTAGAGGACTATAGACTAGACTAGGACCTATAGACTACTATAGACTAGACATAGACTAGACTAAGACTAGACTATAGACTAGACTATAGACTATACTATAGACTAGACTATAGACTAGACTAGACTAGCTATAGACTAGACTATAGACTAGACTATAGACTAGACTATAGACTAGGACTATAGGACTAGATAGACTATAGACTAGACTATAGACTAGACTATAGACTAGACTATAGACTAAGACTATAGACTAGACTATAGACTAGACTATAGACTAGACTATAGACTAGACTATAGACTAGACTATAGGCTAGACTATAGACTAGACTATAGACTAGACTATAGACTAGACTATAGACTAGACTATAGACTAGACTATGACTAGACTATAGACTAGACTATAGACTAGACTATAGACTAGACTATAGACTAGACTATAGACTAGACTATAGACTAGACTATAGACTAGACTATAGACTAGACTATAGACTAGACTATAGACTAGACTATAGACTAGACTATAGACTAGACTATAGACTAGACTATAGACTAGACTATAGACTAGACTATAGACTAGACTAGACTATAGACTAGACTATAGACTAGACTATAGACTAGACTATAGACTAGACTATAGACTAGACTATAGACTAGACTATAGACTAGACTATAGACTAGACTATAGACTAGACTATAGACTAGACTATAGACTAGACTATAGACTAGACTATAGACTAGACTATAGACTAAACTATAGACTAGACTATAGACTAGACTATAGACTAGACTATAGACTAGAGTATAGACTAGACTATAGACTAGACTATAGACTAGACTATAGACTAGACTATAGACTAGACTATAGACTAGACTATAGACTAGACTACTAGACTAGACTATAGACTAGACTATAGACTAGACTATAGGCTAGACTATAGGCTAGACTATAGACTAGACTACAGACTAGACTATAGACTAGACTATAGACTAGACTATAGACTAGACTATAGACTAGACTATAGACTAGACTATAGACTATAGACTAGACTATAGACTAGACTATAGACTAGACTATAGACTAGACTATAAACTAGACTATAGACTAGACTATAGACTAGACTATAGACTAGACTATAGACTAGACTATAGTCTAGACTATAGACTAGACTATAGACTAGACTATAGACTAGACTACAGACTAGACTATAGACTAGACTATAGACTAGACTATAGACTAGACTATAGACTAGACTATAGACTAGACTATAGACTAGACTATAGACTAGACTATAGACTAGACTATAGACTAGACTATAGACTAGACTGTAAACATAATGCATAAATCTCTTAAACTTTTAACAAAACTCTTCCCCAAATCCTCTTTAACATAAAAACCACCCAAAACTTTTACTTATTTTCTCATCCTAGTAGCATTTTACTGCTTAGCCAACAATCAATTAAATTTCTATATTAAAGATAAATACAACAACTATTAATTCTACTTAAGCTTAAGTGCAATGAAATGCAGTAGTCATACATACATACATACATGGAAACACAACACGCTCACCTAGTCTAGCATTAATATAGAAAGTCATTCTTTACAGCTTAAAAAGCTATTAAGACATTAAATTATAAACAGCGCTCAAGAACACACTAGCACACAATTGCATAAATCCTTACAATCACACAGACAGCCATAGATACAACATGCACACTTAATTCCAAATAAAAGTGAGATAGAGAAGAAAAATAAATGTTGCACGTACATATTTTAGCGTTAGTTTTTTCGACAGATATTTCTTTAGTAGTTTTGCCATGAATGCGCTTTTAAATGACTTCTATTAAAAATAAATTAAGTCACAAAAAAGCCAAATAAGTGAGGGAGAGAGAGTTGGAAATGAAAGAATAAGGAATAATGACATTGTTCATGTTGCTACAAATATTTATGGCCACATATTTTAAAAAGTCATTTCAGAAATTTGTAATTAATTTTAAGGTGTTAAATCAACTTGAGTTTTCTCCTAAATGTATACCATAAGACATTGTACAGCCGTAAGGTAGACTTTAAAAACGCTAAATAAAAATAGCAAACTTAGAGGAGAATAATAAATTTAATTTCAAGATAAACAGATAATTAAATTTTCTTAATAAAAAACTACTAAACACTTCACATGTGTAATAAACATATAAATATATTTCAAAAACATATAAATAACCTTACATCATTACCCACTTACCTCTCTGCACAAAAGCCCTCAGTTGCGAAGAAACGTAAAATAAATTATAAATTTATTTTATTAACAACTTATATGACCAACAGCTATTTTTACAGACTCTCTGGCGCTTTCAGTATTTTTTAACTAAATATATTTTACAAACATGTTCACACACACCCATACAGACTCCCCCTTTACCCTGACAGTATACTACGTTTATCGTTATGCAAATTCAAAAGCAGCAGCTCTTATGCAAAGAACAAAATATATTCTATATAAAAAATATATATTTTTTAATATTCAATTTGAAAAACAAAATTTTAGGGCAAATAATATAAAGAGTATTCTCATACATACATGCAACTTTATTATACAAGTGAATCTATGAAAATAAAGTTGGGGTTTTCATTTATATGGAAAAAATGCAATATTTTTTTGTCTTTAAAAAAGGAGTGGGAATAGAGATGCCAGATAGTAAAGACATACGACTGGGAATGAACTGAACTAGAACTAAAGTAGAACTGCAATAGAACTAAAGTAGAACTGAACTAGAACTGAACTGAACTAGAACTGAACTAGAACTGAACTAGAACTGAACTAGAACTGAACTAGAACTGAACTAGAACTGAACTAGAACTGCACTAGAACTAAGTAGAACTAAAGTAGAACTGAACTAGAACTGAACTAGAACTGAACTAGAACTGAACTAGAACTGAACTAGAACTGAACTAGAACTGAACTAGAACTGAACTAGAACTGAACTAGAACTGGAACTATAGACTAGACTATAAACTAGACTATAGACTAGACTATAGACTAGACTATAGACTAGACTATAGACTAGACTATAGACTAGACTATAGACTAGACTATAGACTAGACTATAGACTAGACTATAGACTAGACTATAGACTAGACTATAGACTAGACTATAGACTAGACTATAGACTAGACTATATAGACTAGAACTATAGACTAGACTATATACTATAGACTAGACTACTATACTAGACTATATAGACATGACTATAGACTAGACTATAGACTAGACTATAGACTAGACTACTAGATTAGACTATAGACTAGACTATAGACTAGACTATACTAGACTAGACTAGACTATAGACTAGACTATAGACTAGACTATAGACTAGACTATAGACTAGACTATAGACTAGACTATAGACTAGACTTAGACTGACTATAGACTAGACTATAGACTAGACTATAGACTAGACTATAGACTAGACTATAGACTAGACTATAGACTAGACTATAGACTATAGACTAGACTATAGACTAGACTATAGACTAGACTATAGACTAGACTATAGACTAGACTATAGACTAGACTATAGACTAGACTATAGACTAGACTATAGACTAGACTATAGACTAGACTATAGACTAGACTATAGACTAGACTATAGACTAGACTATAGACTAGACTATAGACTAGACTATAGACTAGACTATAGACTAGACTATAGACTAGACTATAGACTAGACTATAGACTAGACTATAGACTAGACTATAGACTAGACTATAGACTAGACTATAGACTAGACTATAGACTAGACTATAGACTAGACTACAGACCAGATCAAAAACTTGTATTTATCAAAGAAAATTTGGACATAAGCTTTTGTCTCTGGCAACCCTCTTGCTCTCTTTTTGCATGCGGTTACACAACATTACCTGTGTTATTTTTTTTTTATTTGCAATATTTTTTATCTGTAAAAAGATACAAATACTACTTGTACAGCCAAAAAGACTGTAACACGTAAATGCTAAAAGTGTCAAATGGAAATAAATTATTTCAACTCTCATACTCACTTCCCTAAAAGTAGACAACAAAGTTATCCAGCACCAGTTATAAACACACATACATATGTTTAACTTTAACACATAAATAGAAACTCATACAAATACAAAAACAAATAAATAAACTCACATATGTATTACCTTGTGTTAAAACAAAAATTATCGAATTAAATATTTCAGTAGTGGAGAAGTTTTGACTACAACTTTTTGTAACTTTTATTTTTCATATGAAAGTATGTTGAAAGTTCAAGGATTTTATCTTCCCACTCATTTAGTTAAACGACCGAAAAACAAAATTACAAAAACAAAAGTATATTAATAAATTATAAATTATCAAAAAAGTTTTTTCTTTGTTTTTTTAAACGAACAAAAAAACTATACATTTTCAATAGAATTGTAATTTACATAATAAATTAAGTAACTATACAACATATGTTTAAATAAAAAGCTTTTTTAAATAATTTGTTTAGAAATTGACAGTTTTAGAAAGGTTTAAATGAGCAAACCAACAAACTTTTTTAAACCCTAATATTAAGTAAATTTTTGTCTAGTAAATTTTTGTTTATTACTTTTTTGAACAAAAAATATTTTGTTGGTTTCATTAATGTTAAGAAAACTACTTATCTGTAATTATTTCTTTTGCCTTTACTGTTATCAAAAACTAAATTCCTTTTGTTTTATTTTTATTGTAATTTAATAATTTTAATTGTTGTTTTCTTTGGCATTCATTATAATAAATTTTACAATTAAACATGTTGTTTGTGTTCTCTTTTCATTCTTTCCTTACACGCTTGACATGATCAGGGTGCTGCCAGGTTGACAAAAGAAGACATTGAAAAAGTTTTTTCACTTTATGACAGGGTAAGTGGAAAAATTTTAATTAAAATAAAAGAATAAAATTAAAATCATATCAACATCAATGTGTCACAATTTAGACCGTTCAACACAAAGAAAAAGTTGTTAATTTTTTAAATCTTTAAAATTTTATTTTAATCTAACATTTATTACAAGACTTCTAAAAGCAATAATGTTCCAATAAAAGCCATGTTTTCTTTTTACCATAAAAAACAAATAAATAAAATCAAATTAACGCTAATGAAACAGATGTTGCTATTTCTAGCTAAATGTCTGTAATAATGGTAAAGGAAACATTTATTGGGTCATAATGTATACATAAAGAACAAAAAATAAAACAGTAAAAAATACAGTTACAGAAGAAACCAACGGAAAGAACAGAACTAGAACAGAAATAGAACAGAACTAAAACAGAACTAGAACAGAACTAGAACTAGAACAGAACTAGAACAGAACTAGAACAGAACTAGAACAGAACTAGAACAGAACTAGAACAGAACTAGAACAGAACTAGAACAGAACTAGAACAGAACTAGAACAGAACTAGAACAGAACTAGAACAGAACTAGAACAGAACTAGAACAGAACTAGAACAGAACTAGAACAGAACTAGAACAGACTAGAACAGAACTAGAACAGAACTAGAACAGAACAAGAACAGAACTAGAACAGAATAGAACAGAAGTAGAACAGAACTAGAACAGAACTAGAACAGAACTAGAACAGAACTAGAACAGAACTAGAACAGAACTAGAACAGAACTAGAACAGAACTAGAATAGAACTAAAACAGAACTAGAACAGAACTAGAACAGAACTAGAACAGAACAGAACTAGAACAGAACTAGAACAGAACTAGAACAGAACTAGAACAGAACTAGAACAGAACTAGAACAGAACTAGAACAGAACTAGAACAGAACTAGAACAGAACTAGAACAGAACTAGAACAGAAATAGAACAGAAGTAGAACAGAACTAGAACAGAACTAGAACAGAACTAGAACAGAACTAGAATAGAACTAGAACAGAACTAGAACAGAACTAGAACAGAACTAGAACAGAACTAGAACAGAACTAGAACAGAACTAGAACAGATCTAGAACAGAACTAGAACAGAACTAGAACAGAACTAAACAGCACTAGAACAGAACTAGAACAGAACTAGAACAGAACTAGAATAGAACTACAGAACTAGAACAGAACTAGAACAGAACTAGAACAGACTAGAACAGAACTAGAACAGAACTAGAACAGAACTAGAACAGAACAGAACAGAACTAGAACAAATAGAACAGAACTAGAACAGAACTAGAACAGAACTAGAACAGAACTAGAACAGAACTAGAACAGAACTAGAACAGAACTAGAACAGAACTAGAACAGAACTAGAACGAACTAGAACAGAACTAGAACAGAACTAGAACAGAACTAGAACAGAACTAGAACAGAACTAGAACAGAACTAGAACAGAACTAGAACAGAACTAGAACAGAACTAGAACAGAACTAGAACAGAACTAGAACAGAACTAGAACAGAACTAGAACAGAACTAGAACAGAACTAGAACAGAACTAGAACAGAACTAGAACAGAACTAGAACAGAACTAGAACAGAACTAGAACAGAACTAGAACAGAACTAGAACAGAACTAGAACAGAACTAGAACAGAACTAGAACAGAACTAGAACAGAACTAGAACAGAACTAGAACAGAACTAGAACAGAACTAGAACAGAACTAGAACAGAACTAGAACAGAACTAGAACAGAACTAGAACAGAACTAGAACAGAACTCGAACAGAACTATTACAGCACTAGAACAGAACTAGAACAAAACTAGAACAGAACTAGAACAGAACTAAAACAGAACTAGAACATATTTAGAAGAGAATTTGTACTTATTATTATGACCCTTACTGTTTAATAAAAAATCAATACCAACACGTATTGCAGCCAACAACAGATGCTGATCATAAATTATGATTTCTTTTTTAACACACATGTTTACTTTTCTCCATTTCCTTTGTTTGTTTTCAATTCAAAACAGGACAATAGCGGTTCTATAGAAAATGAAGAATTGAAAGGATTTCTAAAGGATTTATTGGAATTGGTGAAAAAGGTAAATTAAAATTCTTACAACAATATTTTAAAGAAAAATAAAACTTAAGCAAAAATTTAAAATATTTTTAAGAAGAACTTTAATATTTTGCTATTTTTGTTTTCTTAATATTATTTATGCAGGATGACTATGATGCCTCCGATTTGAAAGCTTTCGAAGAAACCATCTTACGCGGCGTAGGCTATGACAAAGATGGTAAAATTTCCCGCAAAGAACTGACCATGATTCTGTTGACTTTAGCCAAAATGCCACCAGAGGATGATCAGTAAATTTTCTTTTAGATTTGCAAGATAACTAACTAACACACACACATTTTTTGGGAATTATTAAATAAAAAAATTAATATTTAAATAAATTTTAGCCCTGATTTGAAATGGTTAAGGCAGATATATAAGCGAAAAATTATACTTTATTTATGAATAATAAAAAAACAAATATTAGGTAAGAATTATATACAAAAAAATCTATAAATTAATTAATAATATTTGTAAGTTTAATAAAAAGTAATTGTAAAATCAAGAATTTTAATTTTTGCTAAAACAAAATTACAAAATTTAAAATAATTTCTTAGGAAAAGGAAAATGAAGTACATATAGCAACTATGGGTTTTAAAGAAGCTGAAAATAATAATTATGTACCTTAAACTAGGCAGCGGTTTATTACATTATTAGCTCCTAAAAGTATGTAAAACATAGTTGAAATATTTACGCATTTTTCTAATAAAGCAAGTTTTTTTGTATGAATAACAAGAAAAAAATAATACACCATTGAAATAAGGAAATTATAAAACGCCATTTTATTAAAGAGAAACGAATTAATAGTAAATCAACGATTTTATTATAATTTAAGAACAATTTAAACAAAGAAAGATAAAAGCAAATTTATTTATTTTATTTAGATAATTTTTTATAAATATTAAAAAAAACAAGATCATGTAGATTTCTTTTTGATAAAATTTAAAATTATAAATAAAAATATAAAACAAATTATGTAATCATTAAACAATAAATGAGACAAGCTGTTATGCCAACCTAAAACCTATACTTTAAGGCTGTAACTTGTTACAAATTAAATAGCCTATTTTTAGGCTTTTTGAAAACTTGCCTTGTTTATTGTTTACACTATCACAAATTCTGTTTTAAGTTTTTAATTATAACATACAAAAAAGAATTAACTTAAATATTTCTGTAGCTAAATGTACTTAAAATTTAAAATAAAAACAATTTGCTCCAAGAACATTCTCTAAAACTCAAAAATCTTGCTTTTTGCAAACAATTCCTGAAAAATAATAAAAGATTTATTATACTTTTCCAATTTATAGGCAATTTTAAAGATTAACTAAAATTAAGGCTTTCAACAAAAAACTCATTAAAACATCCACAAAACAGGGAGAGGGGAATAAGAAATTAGCTCTAGTTCAGTTTTAGTTCAGTTCTAGTTCAGTTCTAGTTCAGTTCTAGTTCAGTTCTAGTTCAGTTCTAGTTCAGTTCTAGTTCCGTTCTAGTTCAGTTCTAGTTCAGTTCTAGTTCAGTTCTAGTTCAGTTCTAGTTCAGTTCTAGTTCAGTTCTAGTTCAGTTCTAGTTCAGTTCTAGTTCAGTTCTAGTTCAGTTCTAGTTCAGTTCTAGTTCAGTTCTAGTTCAGTTCTAGTTCAGTTCTAGTTCAGTTCTAGTTCAGTTCTAGTTCAGTTCTAGTTCAGTTCTAGTTCAGTTCTAGTTCAGTTCTAGTTCTAGTTCAGTTCTAGTTCAGTTCTAGTTCTGTTCTAGTTCTGTTCTAGTTCTGTTCTAGTTCTGTTCTAGTTCTGTTCTTGTTCTGTTCTAGTTCTGTTCTAATTCTGTTCTAGTTCTGTTCTAGTTCTGTTCTAGTTCTAGTTCTAGTTCTGTTCTAGTCTGTTCTGTTCTAGTTCTGTTCTAGTTCTGTTCTAGTTCTGTACTAGTTCTGTTCTAGTTGTTAGTTCTGTTCTAGTTCTGTTCTAGTTCTGTTCTAGTTCTGTTCTAGTTCTGTTCTAGTTCTGTTCTAGTTCTGTTCTAGTTCTGTTCTAGTTCTGTTCTAGTTCTGTTCTAGTTCTGTTCTAGTTCTGTTCTAGTCTGTTCTAGTTCTGTTCTAGTTCTGTTCTAGTTCTGTTCTAGTTCTGTTCTAGTTCTGTTCTAGTTCTGTTCTAGTTCTGTTCTAGTTCTGTTCTAGTTCTGTTCTAGTTCTGTTCTAGTTCTGTTCTAGTTCTGTTCTAGTTCTGTTCTAGTTCTAGTCTAGTTCTGTTCTAGTTCAGTTCTAGTTCAGTTCTAGTTCAGTTCTAGTTCAGTTCTAGTTCTGTTCTAGTTCTGTTCTAATTCTGTCCTAGTTCTGTTCTAGTTCTGTTCTAGTTCTGTTCTAGTTCTGTTCTAGTTCTGTTCTAGTTCTGTTCTAGTTCTGTTCTAGTTCTGTTCTAGTTCTGTTCTAGTTCTGTTCTAGTTCTGTTCTTGTTCTGTTCTAGTTCTGTTCTAGTTCTGTTCTAGTTCTGTTCTAGTTCTGTTCTAGTTCTGTTCTAGTTCTGTTCTAGTTCTGTTCTAGTTCTGTTCTAGTTCTGTTCTAGTTCTGTTCTAGTTCTGTTCTAGTTCTGTTCTAGTTCTGTTCTAGTTCTGTTCTAGTTCTGTTCTAGTTCTGTTCTAGTTCTGTTCTAGTTCTGTTCTAGTTCTATGCCAGTTCCTCTTCCCTGCCATCTGTTCATTGAACTTAATTAAATACAAACTAAAAACTCTTTTGAAACAACAATAACATTTGAGAGAAAGATACCTTACAAACAATTATAACAATAAAAATAAATAATTAAACATTGATAGTAGTTTCCCAATTTGTAATAAAAGAAATACAAAAGTTAAAACTTGTGAAAGAAATTTATAAATGTTACTCAGTGTAAACATATTAAATAAATTTTAATAAAAATATATATGGATGTTAAAAATATTAAATAATAAGGAAAAACTAAAAATTTCTAGACAAAACAAATTTGTGGAAGAACTAAAATTAACAAAAAAATTCACTTTAATGTTCCAGCTGAAACCCTGAGGTTATTAATATTAGAAATTTGTATTTGCCAAGTGAATTTTTGTGTAATTTTAAGTTTTTCCAGGAAAATCTCATTATATTTATTCCCCTTTTTTAAATAAAATTAAAATAAATTTGTGTAACTTTAAACTATGAGGTGCTATCAATTTTCAGTTTTACGTTTTTCCCCTTTTACTTGTTAACTGAAAACTATAAATAACTTTTACTTCTAAATAATTATGTTCTTTTTTATTTATAAACAAAAAAAAAATAAAACAAAAATATATAAAAAATACTGCTAATTAAAATTGTTGTTAAACTCTAAAATCTTTACTATAATCATATCAAAGCTTTCAGAACAAAAAAAAACTAATAATACCAAAACTACTTAATAATCTAATAACTCAAAAACCCTAAATGGTAATAAATTTATGAAAATTCTCTTATTAAAAAACGAAATAAAATGCTGAAATAATAAATAAAATATAAAAAAATAAAATATTTAAAAGTTTTTTATTTTGAAAATGGGATTTTTATTTCCCGATTTTCGGATAAGTGAAAAATTGTGGGCAATTTAACAATATTTTATTAATTTTAGTTAATATATGAACTTTGAAGAATTTTAGTGTATTTTACCAAAATTTTGCACTTCCCGGTTTTCTGGGTTTATTGAAAAATATTTGGGAATTCACAAAAAACACAATTTTGTTATAAAAATACTTCATTTATGATTAAAGGAATTGAAAAACAAAGATTTCATGGTTTTTAAATTTCCCGACTTTCTGGGATTATTAAGAAGATTTTGGGAATTCATCAATAAAAGTATTTTGTTGTCTAAATACTTTTGATATTATTTTGGGAATGTAAAATGTACTTTTTTGATGAATTTTGCACTTTCCGGTTTTCTGGGATTGTTTAAAAATATTTGGGAATTCACAAAAAACTGAATTTTGTTATATAAAAACTTCATATATTATGTAAGGAATTGAAAATACAATGTTTTCGCTGATTTTGAATTTCCCGGTTTCTGGAATTATTGAAAAGATTTTTGGGAATTCAGAAATAAAGGCGGGGAAGTGTAATTTTGTTATCTAAATACGTAGTATATTATTTTGGGAATTTAAAATGTACTTTTTTGTTGAATGCTGCAATTCCCGGTTTTCTGGGATTATTTAAAAAATTTTGGGAATTCACTAAATAATACAATATTGTTATATAAACACATCGTATATGAGTTTAGGCTTCACATAAGATGTAAGGAATTAAAAAAACAAAAATTTCGCAGATTTAAAATTTCCCGGTTTCTGGGATTATTTGAAAAAATTTTGGGAATTCATCAATAAAGGAATAGAAAACAATTTTGTTGTAAAAATACTTTCTATAAGATTTTGGAAAGTAAAAATCCAAAATTTCCTTGGATTTTCCACATCCCGGATTTCTGGGATTAATGAAAAGATTTTGAGAATTCGACAAATTAAATCATTTTCTTTACAAAAATACTTTATATAGGTTTTTAATGATTTAAAATGCTTACTTTTGTAAAATTTTGCACTTCCCGGTTTTCTGGGAATAATAAAAAGATTTTGGGAATTCGTCAAATAAAATATATATGTTATAAAATTACTTCCTATATGTTTTGAATCATTTAATATACAAATTTGGAAAATTTTGCACTTCCCGGTTTTCTGGGATTATTCAAAAATGTTGGGAATTCGCCAAATAAACTAATTTTGTTCTGAAAATACTTTCTATATGATTTTAAGAATTTAAAACGCCCACTTTTGTAAAATTTTGCACTTCCCGGTTTCTGGGATTGTGGATAACATTTTGGGAATTCGCCGAATTAAATAATTTTATTACCAATAATTTCCTATAAGTTTTTAATGATTTAAAATACCCACCTTTGTACAATTTTAAACTTCCCGGTTTTCTGGGATTATGGAAAAATATTTGGGAATTCACTAAATAAAGTGAATTTGTTTAAAAAATACGTGTTTAATTATTGTAAAAACTTTAAATAAAAAATTTTGTTAAATTTTGCATTCCCGGTTTTCTGGATTTAAAAAAAATAGGAATTCATAAAATTAAGCGATTTCATAATTATTTAATCATTGTCTGCCTTAAAAAAATAAAAAAACACATTTTCTCTCAATTTTATTCTTCCCGGGGTTCCTGGGATTTTTGAACATATTTAGGGAATTTTCTAAATCTAGCGATTCTTTTATTTTATGGTATTGGTAGTAATTAAAACTTATTTTCTTACAATTTTACAGAATACCTTATTTATTAGCACAAGATTTTGGGAATATTTCATTAAAACTCCAACAAAAAGGATTTTGTTAGGAATATTTTATGAATTCTGCAAATTAAAGTATTTTTTGTACAAGAAATTTTTTGTTTCTTAAACTTTTTATAAAAAAGGTTGAATTTTTCCCTTTGGGTGCAACCCCATTTTGTAATATTCAAATGGGTTCTTTTTTTCATATAATGAAAATAGTTTGAAAGAAATCTATAAGACATTGTATACATTCTTATCATATTTAGAGAAAAACATGTTAGTATTTTTGTAGCAACTATTTAGGAAGGCAGGCATTTAACATACAGTGAGCGGCAATAGAAATGGAACACTTAAAAGTAAAATGCTTGGGAAGAGGTGGAGTCATACTATTGAATATTTTACTAATATTAGAGTTACACTAAGCCAGTAAATAGAATTTTTTGAAAAATGTCTTTACTGTTCTCATTATTTTGGAAAACACTGTTTTAAACAGTGATGGGTGAGACCCAAATTATTACTGATAATTAAAATACACATTTTAGTGGAATTTAGCACTTTCCGGTTTTCTGGGATTATTGAAAAGATTTTGGGAATTCACCAATTAACACATTTTTTTATAAAAATACTTTGTATAAGATTTTGGAAATAGAACATGTCTGTTTTTCTAATTTTTGTAGAATTTTACATTTCCCGGTTTTCTGGGATTAATGAAAAGTTTTTGGGAATACATTAAATAACACGATTTTGTTTGTAGAAATTCTTCCTACATGATTTTGGTAATGTTAAATTCAAAATTTTAAGGCATTTAGCATTTCCCTGTTTTCTGGGATTACTAAAATGATTTTGGGAATTTGAAAACAAAACAATTTTGTTATAAAAATACTTTTTATAAGAATTTGGAAATATAAAATGTCTATTCATCTCATTTTCGTAGAATTCTGTGGAATTTTTCATTTCCCGGTTTTCTGGGATTATTGAAAAGATTTTAGGAATTCGGCAAATAACATAATAATTATACTTTGTATACGATTTTGGAAATATAAAATGTTTATTTTTCTCATTTTTGTAGAGTTTTGCATTTCCCGGTTTTCTGGGATTAATGAAACATTTTTGGGAATACACTAAACAAAACGATTTTATTATCTAAATAACTAATAAATTTGGTTTTGGTAATGGGAAATTTAAAATATAGGTTTCCTG